AATGATAAGTGGAGAAGGGCTAATCAAAGCGTGCTATTTGGAATCGAATATGCAGGCTTCAAACGAGGATGTTGGCGTTGAACCCCCGGGCTGGGACGTGGTTTTAATGGAGAGACGCCACGGATTGAACGGAGTAAAAGAATGCGAGGGCAATGGCAAGAATATCCAATAGACGCGGCGAGCTTCGTATCTGGCGAGGATGTATCGGGGATACAAAGAAGAAATGCGACCCGACAGTGAGGATATGTCTAGAAGCTTCACGCAGCCGGCGGTGCTGGGCAGAACCCCTTGACGTCCGAGGCGGGCATTTACATGGAGACGCATCCAAACACAGACGCCCAGGTACCTTGATTTGGCGGGAAAGCAGCCGGACGGAGACACGAAGTGGGCATGACCTGTCAGCCTGCCCATTTCGCCACCGGCTGTTCAAGGGTTCGGTGGGCGGAAGAAGATCATGAAGCGCCACTGACGGGGACATGGTCAGTCCAGTCTGGGACCCAAGCTTGGGGCCCAGGAAGGAGGGTCCGCCCTCGCTCTTTGTCGCAGCACGACGGACCGGCTCATCAGCCACATCACATGTACATTGGCACGTACGATGGGCATGGATGGCTTGGTTGCGGTCACCCAATGGCTCGGAGGAGCGTGCTACTAACTGCTGGTAGCACGGGCTGGAGCAGTCGCGCCCCTGAGCCTACCAGCCAACCATCCCAGGGCGTTAGCACGTCCGCCTCGACGACTTTAATCCCACTACCAAGCCGCAGGTGTTCAGTAAACCGGGGCCGCGCGGTGTGTGTATGCACATTGCAGGCAGACACCTGCGGTCGAACATCTACAGTACACAGATACACACAAGCTTTAAACCTGGTCGCTCGCTTGGGCATGGCGGGGAGATGAGCCAGGGGGGGTTGCTATATCATCCTAGTGTGGGATATAGCCACCTCTTAGGTAGGGGAGCAGCAGGACGAAAAGAGCTGGACGGTGATACCCGTGTGGAGCCTGCGAGCACGAGCATGGAGGCAGTTGACAGGCTGCAATTGCCATAACACCACCCGCATCAATTGACTGCCCGTCATTTGACAGTAGGAGTTTCCGAACCCCAGAAGCTTCTAGCGACCGGGCGGGCAATGATTGCGGTAGCAGCAGAGTTTCCTCGCCCTGGTCACTTGGACAATTGAACCTGGTCAGTCCACTATCCGTCCAACCCTTGCTGTGATACCTACCTGCGATTCGGCAGGTACGTCCATGCACATGCTCGGCCTGCATGTGTTGAGCCACAGCCCTTTGCACGGGATCAGTCAGCAGATGTTGCCACTGACTGGAGCAAACGGTCCTCGCCATCCACCGACGAACCCAACTCAATCGCCGGCTTGGGCTTCATCATTCGGTCTCGGGTTTGTCTGCGAGGTCTGCCAGCCAGGTCTGCACACCGGCCCTCCAGCCACCGAACACGTCTGCGGGTGCACAAACTAGGTAGTGCGCTGGGCGTGATGCTGACCAGCAGCGGTGGTGGTGGTGGGCGATAGGGTGGCCCGGAGAGGGGGCGTGAACTGGACGGGGATGAGAGGGGGGGCGAGGGGAGGGACCCTGATTCCTGATCGGCATAATGCTAAGCTTGCGCGAGGGGGCTTTAAAAAATTACCCATCCTCTGACGATCGAGGATTGACGAATATATCGATACACTACCAGACACCGTTATATTTCGGGGGGGTGGACTTTCCTGTCCCCATTCAATACGTCATCGCCGCTGCCTTCCTTCCACGAGCCTTCAAAGGTCTTTCCCTTTCAGAGGCTTCTCCCAGCGCTCGGGCTGTCGCGCTGATACAAGGCCTTATAGGGACTTTCGGCCGCTGCATTGCATTGAGTCTAGACTCCGCTCCTAGTCAATTCGTCGTCTCACCACCTCACCTCACCTCACCTTACCTCGCCATTGCCCTCGTGTGATCTCGCAAAATCCTCGCCCACCGAACCCAAGCTGCTGGTTCCGGTCCGGTTGGCTCAGGGCACTAGCCGCCTAGCCCTCGCCATCCATCCATCGACACGCCGTTCGTTAGTTGGCTGGTTCGGCTCTTGCACCACGGCAATTACTGGGACGAGCGGAGCACAAACGCTGGCTGGCCCTTGCCTGATGGAGGTTCCCCGCTGTATTATGACTTAATTGAGTTTCGAGAGGTGAGGTGCTCCCGAATCGGTGCGTGATTCATATCCGCATAGGGGCGCTCAGAGTCCATTGGCCATGGCGTTCATTCATACCCGTCGTCCATCCGTCTGCCGATCACCTCTACTCTTACTGCCGGCGCAGGCCCCTGGATGGATGGAAGATCAATGTATGGCCGGACGGTGGCCGGACAGAGACCGGCTGATCAGAGCGCAGGGTGTCTCGGTAATAGTTGACGGTTTTTTTCTTTTTCCACGCCTACACGCGCGAATCAAATGCCTCCTCTGTCATTGAGATCTCGCCTCGACAGGGCCAGCGTCGCTTATGGCTACAGGCACAGGATATGCAGCCATGTGGCCCCAGATCCCAATTTTTTCAGGGCAAAAAGCAGTATCTAGACAAACAGGTACAGGGACGATATTCAGGGGTCCCTAGGCCTCTCATACCGCTATGATATCATGTCTTGAGGCCGCCGGCATACGTGCATACCCAGGCGCTCGGGACCGAATGTGCAAGTAAACTCAGGGCAGGTAAGTCTATGTCGAGATGGCGTATTGGCGCTTGCACTCATGTCATTTACAGGTACGCCTTCAACGCTAACCGCGTCTACGGAGCCGAAAAGACTCGGGGGCTTCAAGTACCTCCCGGTAGGACAATGTGGTGCCTTGGCACATAGGCCCTTGGCCCTCCCTCCCTCTCCACGGATGTTACCGAATTTAGAGTTGCCATATTCGTCCAAGCAGGCCTAGTTTATTAATCCCGTTGGGGGCCTCCCAATCACAGTCGCTTCGTACAGCTTGGTGAGACAAACAGGGCAAGCAGCCTGAGGGAGATGAACATCACCAGCTTCCTAGGCAGGCAAGTCTTTGCATCAAAAGGCTCGCGTGCATATGTAGCATTACGTACGTGTCAAAGAGATCCTAGGTTGCGTCCAGATGTGCAGATCCGCTGGGGATGATTTGCGTTGTGTGGACAATCGCTGGTGGAGTTGTATAACAACACGTCCGTTAGTTGGACAGGAGCCCTGCCATATATTCGGATATACTAACCCGCCGTTAAGAAACACCAATCCCTGGCTAGCTGCAGTCAAAGGCCCTAGCTATGAAGTCTGGAGATTTCGTCCAGGAACTCGCAGTGGGGCAGCCATGGCCTGGGTCTAGACCGCTCGACTCCGAAGGGAAATGAATCAAAGGCACCTCTTTACACGCGTGAGACTTGAGAGAGCCTGCAATTACTCTAACGTCCATGCCTACATGCTAGTACTGCCTACATCGACCTCGAGGTACGTTGCAAACCCAAACCATAAACCCCACAACCACGTCGTACTATTCACTGCTACGACCCAATTGCCTTGGGTACAACACGAACACCTGCAGGGTACATGGTAGAGGCTACCCAGGTAGGGATAGGGATGGGTAGCCTTACGGATGCTAGTGCTGAACCAGCACATCATCCGACGACGATTGCTTTACTCCGTATGTTTGCAAACATCGCGGATTCTTCACGCCACACCCCCGTGCTCCCAAGGCCGATGGGAGCGCTTAGCAGCTCGCATATAGATGTACGTGTATTGGAGTAGGTTAGTAAGTCAAGTCTGAAACCCCGGCATTGGATCCTGGTGCTACTCATCAACCATCACCCCTCCCTTCTCCCCCTCCCCATGATGGGCCCTGATCCCCACCCACCATGGCGGGACCCCAGCTCTGCGATGACGACATCGTGCCTTTGGCGACAACCTCAGCTCACGAGCCCGCTTCCAGTCCGCACATTTCGGATGTCTTATTTTTGGAGTATCCCAGATGGGTTTTCCAGATGGAAATGGGAAATGAAGTGACCGATTTCAATGCCATCTCAAGGCGTTCCCCCCCCCCGCCCGCCTTTGGGCCATCGGGCGTCATCGTCGTCATCACCTAGGTCCATTTCCTTGGTGCACATGTCCACCTTCGCGTCTTCAAATGACCTCATCCAGAGTCGAGTCTCTCGCAGACGGATCAATCCTTCATGTGCGGACCCTTTTCTAACACACTAGACTGCATTGAATTCCTCATGAGCATGAGCAATGAATCGGTCATGGTCATCGTCGTCTGAAGCATGACACACGCCTGACGACTTGGATCATTGCGCCTTGATGATGCTGGGTACGATCGGTTTTGACGATTTTGCAGCCGCGTCACTTTACACAAAGAAAAAGAGAGCTAGGATCATAATGTCGTAGTCGGACCTCTAGCAGCCGAGTAATGAACAAGGAACACACCCCAGGATCGAAACCGCGTCCTTCCGTTCCTACCTTGAACCAGCCCAGCGATTTGGATTTTTTTTCCACGGCTTCCGGTCTTACACTTGGCCCAGTTACATCAAAGGTCATACCCAATGCATTAGGCCTTGATAAGAAGTCGTATTTGCCACTCTGAGAAGGCTTATACAGACTCGTTGGGCTCTGGTTCCACCAGCCGAGGCCATACACTGCGAGGTATGGCAAAACGGTGACATTCCATCGTGATATCGGTTGCAGTCAGCAGTCAGCCACCACGGCGGGAGGGACACGTCAAGCCACACCGCCACAACGTTATCGCAGTATTTCCCAAAGAAATAAATGAAGATATTACCCTCAGTGCCCGTAGTCCGGGTTGACCTGGTTCTAGATTGCGTGTCTGTCGCCTCCCGGTAGTCTACTCAGAGCCGGTCCAAAGTGAGTCTTGGGGAGATAACACTCTTGCTCGGGCAGAGATGAATGTGAGTAATCTCACAAAGGCAGAAATTCACCACCTAGACGCAAGACTAGCTCGACATGTCCCTGGATAATCCCTCCTCGTAGTGTGGCGAAATCTCCAAAACTGGCCAGCCTCACTGACGAACGCCCGTCAGGCAAGCCACATCAACCTTTCTAGCTTCGACGTGGGCGCATCGCGCCGTGTAACCCTATTGGGGGGCTTTCGCTTACCTGTGCTGCTTGGTTCTGGCATCGATCTGCAGCTCGCCACAAGACGTCCAACCGTGGCAGACGAGGGGCCTGCATGATAGAGTTTGTTGCCTGGTATGGGCAGCCAATATGCATCGCTCCCCTCTTGGAGAAAGATGGATCGGCGGTGATGCCGCGCTTGAGCCGTTTGAAAGCGCCCCCGTTCATGCTCGACGCTACTGATGCAGGAGATACCCGGTCACACAAGCTCTTGGCGATGGGTAAGGCGCCGAGCTGGGGGAAAGAAAAGCAATTAGCATTGGGAGACTGCGAATTTGTCATTTTCATGCCCTCGAGTTTGGGTATCAACAACTTCGTCCCGAGTCTTTTCGGGAAAAAGAAATTAGCATTGGGAGATGCATCCCTACTTTCAGCTTTGTGAAACTGCAACGTCTCCCGAGCCTTTTCGGGAAGCAGGTACGGGGATAGCGATGCCAAGAGCCAAACCCAGGGCTGTCTCGAAGTAAAGGGATTCGTGTTCGGGCGTCTTGTCGTGGAATTTGAGTGCTCGTTGATGGAGCCCGAAAAAAGCTGAAAGGAACTCCCAATAGGAAGTGCGAGGTTCACGCCACAAGATGGTGGTTTTCCTCTCAAAGTGTCATGTCAGAAAACTTACCAGCTGGGGGGTGGACGTCTCCCCAGAATTTTGTGATTGACATGTATGGCAGAAACTTGGGCCTTCCATAAACTCGGAGAGAAGCCAGTCTTCTGATACTTTGCACCTGTGGGACCCTTCATTCGATAATTCAAGTCATATTCAAGGACAAGGAGTGAGGGAAGTATCAAGTTAGAAGGGAGCAATGGTTCGATTGTAAGTTTCATTCGTGATGAGAGGTCTTCTCAAGATTTATCATTATACACCTCCACCCTCCCAAGTCTTGTTTTTCACTTCTTAATCTTTCTTCAAGGGCAGAATCTTCTCCTCAATACCATCCTTTGTCAGGATAAACATTTGTAGGGCGTCACCGACCTCGATGTGACGCTCGGCCGCACCGTCAAAGGCATCCTTCACAAGCGTCTCTACCTCGTTGAGGAGGAGGGGTCGGCGCTCACGTTCCTGTAGGTCGTGGCCCACACCGCTTCCGGGTGCGTACTGGTTCTTGAAGTTGACCTGGTTGTCCAGGAAGGGCATGATCAGGCTTCCTCCGGCACCGCCAGCTCGGCATGTTTCCCTCTCGTAACTACCAACGGGGTCGTAAGAGTAGACCACACCCTTGCCCTCCTCATCGATCCCGCCCAACATAGCATGAACGTAGTAGGGGAAGAATCGCTTGCCGTATAGAATGGTCGACAGGCGCTTGGCGCATGCGTTGGCAGTCATGGCCTTGCCATGGCGGTAGCGGTAGATCTTGCAGATAGTGTCCAGCTGGTCACGGAGGGCATTTCCGTCAGCAGCAAAGCCACATACAGAGAGAACGATGGTGGCATCGTGCTGGTCGGCAGTGGTGCCGCCAATCTTGAACAGCTTGGGCTCCGTGCGAGAGTTGATGCTGTAACCGGCAGTGTGTCGAGTATCGCCCGCCATTACGGTGAAGTCGGCTCCGGAGATGGCCAAGGTGGTACCGCCATTGTCGGTGTATCTAAAGTGATTCTTGTAAGCCTTATGCCCTTCAACACTCCCACGTCTCCCACGTCTCGACCACTCACGGGTAGAAGCGATGCTCTCGATAGTTGTTGGTCTTGGGAGCATCGGTGGTTGCGTAGTGGGGCCCATTCATCAACGGGTTCTGGCTGAACATGGCTGCCATCTTTGCAATATAACCAGGGAGACGGTCTCCTAGTGATGTGCTGAAGCTCGAGAGGTGTTTAGAATCTTCGGTGGACGATGGCTGGATGAGTTGATGATGATATCGGAGGTGGAGTTGGGAAGCTTGCCTGGGTAGTTCAATGTGCTGGGGTTGCACGCGTACAGCTTGGAGCCTTGAGCTTGACTGAGGTGGTGGATGACTAAGCATGTTGATGTTGCATCAGCCATAGCTCCCCTGAATCTTGGAAATCGTCGTCATTTTCAGGCTGTCCAACGTGTCGGTTCCCGGGCAATACAGACCTGGTCAATAAAAAAATCAAATCGTCTTTTTCATCGGTTGCCTTCGCTTCATGCAACAGCAGAGAGGCATTGCACGCAGCCATGTCGTACGACATTCGCGCCAGGGCGCTCCAGAAGATAGCTTCGCTATCTGCGACCGCTCCTTCGCCGCTGGACAGATCCGACCTTGACCGGCTATGCAGAGCTTGTCACACAGGCGCAAAGAGCAGAGAATATACCAATGGCGCGGTATCCACCACATCGGTGGGAAAGATTCCCATGGTTCGTTATCCCCGACAGGTTCTCGACATCGTGGTAAAATCGAAGGCTGACCATGATAGACCATTCGCGAATTCGAGGTCCTGTTAGCGCTATGCAAGACGTCACCAAATATACAATCGGCCCAGAGCGCTCAGAGGCTTTCATATCAACTGAAGCCATACATGCAAGAGGCTCCGTTCCAAACTTTCGTCCCGTCGCCCTTCTTCCGAAAAGTCGATCCGTCGGCCACCGAGGTTCTCACGTTCCATGTTACAGGGGCATTGCTCGCTCTCGGACTGAATTACACGGATCTGCAAGATGGGGTTTCTGATTGCATCTCTGGCTTTCTTCAGACTTGCTCCAAGGTCACCGATGGTGTTCTTGCTCCTCGAATTGGTGGCGGTGACAACTTCCATCTATCAGATGCCATTCGCACGACGACGGTGGTGCTCGCCCTTCTCGGTTTCATGGACGCGGTGTCTGCGCAAGCCGACTTTTGGAGACCAGCTGGACGACTACACCTCGCAGAGAAGATCCGTACTCTAATCTCAGAGCCCTTTCTTGTTGCCGTTGAGACGGCGCTGTCCACGATTCGCAATTCCGAGAGCCAGGATCGGGAAGTCAAGGAATGGAGACGACTTATCCGCCACTATGCATACCTCGACCGCCCCCTGGGAGCAATGCTCCTCCAGCGAACCTTCATGTGGCTTGTTGTTTCGAGCACATCTCTCATGATAGCTGATGGGCCAACTCTTAGGGACAACCATATCCTCGACCTCCTCATGGCAGACTCGGAGAATTTGGCTCTGGGTTCTTTCAAACATCGAGAGGAAGACTTCAGCTCTATAGAGGTGTATGCTGCTCTCGCGACCGAGCAGATCAACAGCGTCGAGGCCGACTCTGACTTTGTTGTTCGTATTGGGACTTCCTCTCAGCAAACTCTGGCGTATGGTGTCAAGTCCGCCGCTCTGATCGCGTACTTGAATTGCTCGCTGCTGAACGAAGATGCGGCAGATGTTGAGACTCTGCTTACATGGCTCCAAGAGACCCTTGAAGATCCGTTCCAAATGGCGGACGATACCCTTGCCCCTGTAGTGTTGAAGTCGCTTGCACTTGTGTGTCAAATTTCGCCCTCCTCGGCATCCGCCGTCAGCAGGATCCTACCACGTTTCCTTGTGCAGAATGCTCCCCACGGAACCGCAGTTGGGATTGCATCCAAGAGCTTGGCCTTTGTGCTCAAACTACTGTCAAAGGATGCTGTAATCAGCACTCTCTACACACTTGGAAATGTCCTCAGCCCTGAATCCGAGACCTCTCTTCTAAATGGCCAGGCTAATGGCAACACGTCTAATGAAGCAGGCCTCAATGTCATGTACGCAAACCGTCACTCAGTGGCCAGTTCCATTTCACTGCGGGCCGATGGCGAGGAGTCTGGTGTTGTATACGAGAACGTGGTCCAAGCCATTTGTGGGATTGCCACAGCCTGCCAGGACGAAAAGATTACGGCCCTAGCACAATCAATGCTTTTACAAAAACTCGAGAAAGTCAGTGCCATCGTTGATGCCCAGATCATCGCTGGAGCAGGAACTTTGGCCTTGAGTGGTGGTCAGTTGGAGTTCCGCTCACTTCTCAAAATGTATGCGCGAATGTCCCATGTAGGGGTGACAAACAAGGATGACTCAATACTTGGTGCAGTAAGTATTCCTTCACCTCCAACATTGCTTGATCCCGACTTACAGATCGACACAGGTTATGAAAGCTCGCACTCATATCTCAGCCAACCTTGACCGAGGTTCGGCTCTTTTCGACATCTACCTAGAGCACATACTGGAGACTATCATCTCTCTTGGAGATGTGCCTTCATCGACACACACTAAGGAGGCTGATCTTCAGCTGGCCGCCTTGGAAATCGCTGAACTCCTCCGCCCGCTGGCTGTCTTGATGTCTACAAACGACTTCGCAGCCGAGCCTATTGAAAGCGATGAGTTCACACAGCTGCTTCGAGATGCGTGGTTCAACATCGTCGTTCATGGGTTCACAACAGCGACGGAGCGGGGAAAGAAATACATCAACGAGCTTAGGGTGATCGCTGTTCAGTCCCCACCTCTCGTCGCGGAAAAGAGGAGCGAACAGGTTGAAAGTGATATTGAGCTCAACACTGTGTTGAGGCGTGGCAACAGCAATGAGCGAGAGGCTCTTCAAAAGAAGCTTCTGAGCGAGTTGATCCCCACCAAGGCTGGTGATATCAAGGGTCTGAGCTACCGAAAGGTCATCTTCTTGCAGGCTGCGTACCTGGTGGAAAGCCTAAGAGCCGACGGCGGCGACTGTACCAAGGTTCTCTCTTACTTCCTTGAGCCTAGTATGCGCAAGGCGGAAGTTAGCAGCACCATGGAGGGCATCGCAGCTGCCGTCGTCGACAAATATCTTAGAAGAACACTTGCAGGCACGGATCCGGCTTTCTCAGCTCAATATGCTGCGAAGCAGCTTGCCTCTATTTTCTGCATATGCTGTCATCGCATTGAGAGAATTCAGCAAGCTGCGTTCGCGTGTGCTGACCGGATTATCCGGGATGTACCCTCTGCGCTGTGCAGCCGGACTTCCCTGTTCGCCCTGCTCGAACTCTTGTCCTTGATGTGGGCTGGCTGTTTGGAAGCCGAGACTGATATCTATACTCCGCGGGCAACATTCAGCTCTGAGCTTGGCAATGTAACTGTTGAGCTCTCTGATGACTATGACTTCCGCCGCTGGACCTTGGATATTCTCAACCGAAAGGCGAAGACTTGGGTGAACAACGCTATCAGCCTAGCTCCCCTCGACGTCAAAGGACTTCTTCAAACCTACCTCTCGGAGTTCAACGATGATGGTGCGTATGGCCATATCTCCCTGGGAAGGTCATTCGCTCTTGAGCTCGGCTCCGTGATTCCATCCACAGACCAGCGACTTCAATCCCTCGAGCGGGTCGGAGACTGCGATATCAACACTGCCTCGGACCTGATTGCGCAATATACCACTCGACAAGAGTACCGATATGGAGAGATTCTTCCCGACCGTGCCACCGATCTGGTCAACTACATGCACTTGACTAGCCGCAAAACGTCAGAGGTGCAGTCGCCTCTGAACGAGAGTGCAAATGCTTCCACGGCACTGGCTCATGTGGAAGCCAGAATTCTGAGCAAGAAGTCGACATCTTTGAATGAAGTCCGAGATATTTTGCGAAGAGCGGCAGCTTTGCTGTGTCGCAGCCAAGTCGACGAGTCTGCAATTGCTCGCTACCTCGTCAGCATTCCTTTTGCCTTGTTCACTAAGCAGTCCATCAAACTTGGTGTATCTCTCTGGCTTGGTGTCATAAATGAAAACCCTCGGCTTGAGTCTAAACTTGTCAACGAGATTGCACAGCAGTGGGAGTTCAGTATCGCCCGAAAGCTCGGATTGTTCCATCCATCCTTGACACATCCAGACCCTTTCTTCCTTAAAGAGGAGTTTGCTCCCAGTGACTTGGAAGCGCTTGCGAAGCGAAAGCAGCTGGTCCATGACCTGCTCTCGCCACACACCCGTCTCTTGCAATTCTTCGGGAGCCATTTCAATGCAACTCGTCTCAGCAGTGTTGATACCCGCCGTGTTTTCCTTCGCATGCTAGACTTAACACTCGACGCAATGAAGAATGCATCCCCTCACCCAATGGCCAGGGAGCTTCGGTTCCTCATCATTCTCTACGCACTAAGGATGCTACGTGCCAGCACCATGATTGGGGCTACCGCACAATGGAGATTGAAGGAGAAGATCTTGTCCGCTGGGTTGAGCTGGTTTAGGCACTCCCCCAAGTGGTCATTTGGTAGCAACAGGCTTCAATTGAAGACTGAGATACGCCTTATCACGGACGTCTTGGCTGCTCTTAAGGCCATCAGCTTCATCGGTGGACAAACCGTCGGGAACCTAAAGTCGCTCCAGTCAAAGGAGCAGCTCCTTCAGCTGCTTCTCGAGAACGAACAGTCACGATTGGCGGTTTGGATTAACCCTCTCAACGTGCCCGGAGGTCACAGTCACGTTCATAGCGCAGCGAAAGCCGCCACAGAGGCAACACTCTGTTCCTTAGTTCGAACAGCCTGGTGGCTCGATCCTGCCATTGCCATTGAGCTTGCTACGAGATTCCCCTTCCCTCGATTGCACAGGGATATTCGCTTTCTACTCCTCACCATGCCAGAGAGAGCAATTTCAGAGCCAGAAGCCCTACCAATTGTGTACGACGGACATCTGCCTGGTGATTGCAGCTCACAGTTGAAGGTAAGTCTATCCTTTTGATCTCTTGCAATCTACTCTTGAATTTGAAAACTAACCGTTTGTAGTATCTCCTATTCTGGGAGCCTGTCAATCCTGTGACAGCTGTGACCATGTTCTTGCCCGCCTACAAGGACCATCCATTGGTCATCCAATATGCCATGAGGGCGCTTGAGGCTCATTCAACAGACGTGACTTTCTTCTTCGTTCCTCAGATTGTTCAGACACTGCGTTATGATGCTCTAGGATATGTTGAGCGTTACATCATCGAAACCGCGCAGTTCTCCCAGCTGTTTGCTCACCAGATTATCTGGAACATGAAGGCCAACTCCTACAAGGATGATGATGCGCAAATCCCCGACGAGATCAAGCCAACTCTGGATCGTGTCATGGGCAAGATGGTTGGAAGTTTTGCACCTGAAGACCGAGACTTTTACGAACGAGAATTCTCCTTCTTCGATGAGGTCACGAACATCTCTGGCAAGCTCAAGCCCATCAGAGATCGCCCCAAGGATGAGAAGAAGCAGAAGATCGAGGAAGAACTTCGAAGGATCAAGGTTGATGTCGGGGTGTATCTGCCCAGTAATCCGGATGGTGTTGTCATTGGTATCGACCGCAAATCCGGAAAGCCACTGCAGAGTCACGCCAAATGCCCCTTTATGGCGACATTCAGGATCAAGAAGAATAAGCCTAATCTCCTTGAAGGCGAGGTAATGATGGAGGAGACCAAGGTGTCCGAGAAGGAAGGCCACGAGAGCAACGGCACCCTGGATAACACCATTGAGGTGTGGCAGTCTGCCATCTTCAAGGTTGGAGATGACTGTCGCCAGGATGTTTTGGCATTGCAGATGATCGCTGCCTTCCGTGGAATCTTCCACAATGTCGGTCTCGATGTATACGTCTTCCCTTACAGGGTCACTGCTACAGCTCCTGGTTGCGGTGTGATCGATGTATTGCCTCACTCGATTTCCCGAGACATGCTCGGCAGAGAGGCAGTCAACAAGTTGTACGACTACTTCATTTCCAAGTACGGAAACGAGGACTCCTTGCGGTTCCAAGAAGCCCGAAGCAACTTTGTCAAGTCCATGGCGGCATACTCCATCATCTCCTTCCTGCTGCAGTTCAAGGATCGGCACAACGGCAACATCATGATCGACGACGCCGGCCACCTTCTCCACATTGACTTTGGTTTCTGCTTCGACATAGCCCCCGGAGGCATCAAATTCGAGCGCGCCCCTTTCAAGCTCACGCAGGAGATGCTTGCCGTCATGGGAGGCTCGACCGACCACCAGAGCTTCAAGTGGTTCGAGGAACTCTGCGTCAAGGCCTTCCTCGCAAGCCGGCAGTACTGCGAGAAGCTCTGCCAGATGGTGCAGCTCATGATGGACAGCGGCCTGCCCTGCTTCAAGCCCGAGACGGTCAAGAACTTCCGATCCAGGTTCGTCCTCGAAAAGACGGAGCGCGAGGCGGCCGATTACGTCAAGGATCTCATCAAGAGGAGTTATTCCAGCTACAGCACGGGTGTCTACGATCAGTTCCAGCTGATCACCAACGGTATTCCGTATTAATAGTCACGCCCTTGCTTCAGTGAGCAATTCTAATACCTCCTCTATGATTCTATCCTATATCTTCCCTTTTCAGCCCTGTGTTAGTCGGTTTTGTTGGTCCCAAGTAGATAGCTACCTTAATATAGACCTTTTGATATACATACCCCAGTGGCAATGTGTCCAAGCCAAATACAAATGTTGTTACAAACCAAAGGAAACAAGCAAAGTACGCACATTCTTACAGACCTTGGTAGACAGTAAAATTTGAAGAAGAAAAAATAAAAAGGGGGGGAATGTATTCCGATTGAGTTGGGAAGAACCTTTTTTGTGTTACTACATCTCACGTGGCAGGTTGAAAAGTCAAAGTCGGTTCCTTGCGTGCTATAGCAAGCTAGAACCCTAACGGCAACTTTACTCGGCGCTCTGCCTGAGCATGTGCGTAGGGGCGTTGTAGGTTAGGTAATCCACGTGCACAAAGGCCCTGTCCACAATCGGGACAGACTCTAGGAAGTATGTCAACACTTCGCTAAGATCGTGGCTATCCTTGAGAGGCATGTTAGCCGAGAGGACGATGTCAACTTCGACAACAAGCTTGTCGCCCGCGTGGTAAGCGCGGAGGTTCTGGATACGGCGAATGGTGGTAGCAAAGCGCATGGTGAGATACAAGAGGAGGTTACGCTCATCTGGCTCGGCAGAGAGACCACTCAGGTTACGAATGTGGTGAATAGTGGTTTGCGACCACTGGAGGACGACATAGACGGAGAGCAGAAGACCGCCGACGGCATCGAGCCACCAGATTTGGGCGATGGAACCAACTTTAAGAAGCACGTGGGTCAGCATCACAGTTTTCAGTTAGCGCAATGGTATATCACCTACTGATGGGGAAGAGAATGGAACCCGTGTTAAAGACGACATCAGTCTTGCAATCTTCAGCCCTAGTTTGCAGAGTCAGCTTAAGTTGATGATGTGGGGTTTGGGGTAGCAAGGATGAACTAACAGGGCTTGGACACTGGAGTTCTTGACCAAGCGGCACCAAATCCAAACAAGGCCCTTGATGATGACTGTGCCAACCATGATTGAAAGTGCTGGGATGCCGAGGTCCAAGACTTCATGAGAAGGGTCAGCCAGGCGCTCGATACATTGCATTCCGACCTGGACGAAACAAGTGATCATGATGACTGAAAATACAAGCACGCCTACGGGCTCAAGCCTTCGTCGACCGATGGGATAGTTGTGCTGGTCCTTCTGGCTAACGGAAACGAGATATGTTGTGACCCAGACAATAGCTGTGCTCAAGAAGTCGAGAGCTGCATCGACAAGACTAGCCAAGACGGACATGGACGGAACGGAGAAAACGACGGCGAGCTTTCCGGCGAGCAGAACGCCATTGGCAATGAAGTTGACCCAGATGGCAAGTGTGACAATAGGGCTGTCACTGTCGAGCTCGGCATCTTCGAGCCATGGCAGTCTCGGCTTAGGACCTGATCCATCGGACAGGAGAGGCGATGCAGCTCCGGGCTCCTCTTCATCCTCATTGTCGGAGTCGTGGTGAGCTACAAGAAGAGGCATCTCCTCTGAAGAACGGAAGATGTCCTTCGGCGTGCGCTTCTGAGGCAGACTCTGTGGGGTTTCGGCACCATTCGATTTCGCATTGGAGTCTGTAGCTCCGTACGAACCATTTGCGCTCTTGCTCTGCGTGGTTTGCGACGGCGCAGATGCTATCTCTATGCTCTCCGAGCTCTGCGGCTCATCCTCCATGATGGTGCTTGGGATATGCACGGGACGGAAAGCCGAAGCTTCCAGCTCGGCGGAATATTCATTGAGTAGCTCGTGGGGAATCGTGGAGTCGAGCAGGCAGTCGATATACAGGTACTGTTGGATAAGATCGTTCGTCCGCTCGTAGTACCGACGTCTAAGACATCGTCAGTCCCTCTGCCGCACCCTGTTTCAGTCTGTTATGCAACATACATTGGCTTCGACATTGTCTTCAGTTCGTCTTCTTTTTTCCAGTACCTCTCCCATCGATACCTCGGGTTGCTCTTGCCAATGAGGCTCATGCTTCTGGCTTGTGGGCCGCAGAGGATCTGGCTGAGGCGCTGCTCGTTAGCCAGCAAGCGCGAGATGTCGTCCTCCTCAGAATACCAGCTGGACCGAGGGCCGGATTCTTCATCGTGTCCTTGGGCGCGATATTTGCTGGAGAGACTTGAATTGGAACGACTCCTGATGATGGACTGCAGCGCGCCGCTGCGCGTGGGGAGCGCAAACGGATCCTCCTGATGATAATGGACAAACGAGTGACGTTGAGGCGTCCGCACCTCTGGAGAGCTCATGATGGGTTTGGTAACTGATGCCGCCGGACGGGAAAACTGATGGCTCAGCACCTCAAGAATTGAGAGGATGATGAAGGCAACCTCTCTGCCTTGCCAGACGAGGCTTAGCGAAGGCTAAAAAAAAGCATGCTTTGCTCTACAGAGGGTCCGCTGCGGCGAACGAGGCTTGATACACTTGCCTCATTGGCTACGCTAGCGCACAGGCAAGTTGTCTTCCCGTCTAATTATTACATAAAGCAATCTTATCGCCTCCTAGCCGAGAACTAGGGGAGATATAACATCTTATCGATCAGGATGCCGTCTAGATCTTGAGATCACTCTTTGGAGGCCCACGAGCCGCCAAACCGTAGCACTGGAAAAAGATTACATGCTGGACATGCATGCGAGAACTACGTCGCATTTGGTGACAACCAACGCGTGATACGTCGAATTGTACCACACTTGCTGGGTTTAATGCATGCATGGATACCAATCAGGGAACAGACCTGCCCTGCATGCAATGACGTAACATTGCTACCCTACACCATGGCTGGGCAAGCGACTGACATAAAACATAGTACACAGAACCTCTGGCGTTGTATTTCGACATAATATCAAAACCATTGACCCAATGATAAACACAATGTTAAGCTAAATATAATAGAATAAATTATTTCTGATTATCATGTTTAATATTATTAATGAGAAAATCAGGTCCCTACCTTATGTGAAAAGGGCTTTATGCTATGTTTTATTTCAACCACATGCTGGTTGCTGATCCAGCCATCGGCTTTGCATTAACTTACACTTGAACGAACCTCGGTTGCATTGGGTACTCTTTCGTCCACCGCCGTGTCTCGCGGTTCATCCCAAGTATGCCTGGTTCTGCGCGGTTTTCATTAGATTGGCAGGACTGGCCAATCGATGAAACTTTAAAACCTCTCCCCCTTGGTGACCTAGCGAAGGTTGCCAGGAGTGGGTAGTCGGGCAACAAGGCGCCGAAAGTATGAAAGGCGGAATTAACGGTAAATGCCGAGAAGTTGGATATGCCAGGTATGAAACAAACACCAAACCTAGATGCAAATGAAGCAGGCTCTGCGAATGGGGCATATCTGAGTTTAGGAAGAAGAGAAATTAAGAGTGTAAGGCGGGTTGAAAACAGCCAGACTACCCTTATGCAGCATATCATGAGGCGAGGCGAACTTGCCACAACCCCATATCTTCGCCTGCCCACTTGACAAGACCAGTGGACGGTGATTATCGATTGATTGTGAAACCTTTTCCCTTCTCCCTTCCCATTTCACCTTTCCTTTCTGTTACATTACGATACGGAGTTCCACCAATTCCATTTACAGCTCGGCTCGACTGCCTGCCTCAGCGGGTGCTGTGCCGTAATTTATTATTGGTACCGTAGTTGAGGCTGATGAGCGGAGCAGGTGGCTCTTGCTTGACCCGGAGAAAAAAAAATTGACACGAACTATGACAATGAGCATTCTGGACATACACCGACCTCGAGTCTCGGGAACGCTAATGTCTCATACGTGCGCAAACAATCCGTACTGTCTCACACACATTCCTAGCTAAGTTTTTCGGTGTGGAACTTGAGATGAAGCGACCACCTGGATACATCTACGTAGTGGGCAGTTTCTGCAGCTGTCATGCAAAGACCAAAGGTACCGACGGCGTACCTCAGTACGTACATTTTGCCTCCTCAACAGGCCGTTCCCGTTAACGGGGCAGCATATCTAGGTGTTAGTGTGACGGTTATACGAGCAGGCCTAGCCATTGATGGATACTGGCTTGAGCTACAGCAAAGTCAACGCCGCGCTCGGCCCCATTGGTGGAGACGGGACGATCAACTGGCGATATACGGCATTTGCCTCCCTGGTTCTCCTCGTATAAAATCTCTGAGCCGTTGGGCCTTTCGTGGCCTTCAGGCCGCCAGCAGGGACATGATAGGGAGGCTATGATATAACCAACGTTCCTCAACACCCAGCGCCGCGTGGACTGTCGCGCCATCGAGAGCAATCGGTTCCACAAGTTTCGGAAAGCCCATCATGCCGCACGCGGAATGGCGTGGGATCGATGCGGCGGCGCTTCGTAGAGGCCCGGGTTATTTCTGCCACCCACAGAGCGTCCATCGTGTTGACACCCCAACCCCCAAGTCGCACTCGAGCGATGACGCCAGCCGGCCCAGGCCCCAGGCCAGAATCCCGATCCTGCCCCTGATGATCACTCGCTCACTACTCAATCATGCCAGCCCGAAATGGAGGTGAACGGCCAGGTGTTATGCGTTAGTTACATCACGGTTGGGGCTCCACTGCGAAGCTTGTAAGCTTTTGTAATTGTGGCTGCCCAACTTTTTGAATTTCTGTCGCCCAGGTACCGGTACCTGGGTGCTCCTCCAAGTCATGGCCGTGTACCTTGGAGGTAATCACTGAGTCAATGGAGCTATGCGCTGTAGGTAAGCAGGAGACGCCCAGCTCTTCTCCATCCCACCGAAGAGCAGCCAAAAAAAAGGCACTATGGAACAATTACAGCCAAAATGAAAATAAAGAATTGATAAGCTGTTGGCAGCAGGAAAGGCCGTCAGGTACGACACGGACTAGCGACACGATAGCGACGTGCCAAGCTCATATTTGAAGCTTCTTTGGGGTCCGGATCCCCGGGCGCCCCCGCTTCGATCCACTGCCCACACTCGGATCCAGCTGAACCAGCTTCCACCATCTTTCAGGGTCAAGCTAGCCCAGGATGATACCTGCCAGTACCTACCACGTAGCGGGTTAGCAGCACATGTGTTGGACCCCTGGGCGCCTGAACGCGCTGCCAAGTCTCCTGGATATTGGACATTTTAGTGCGGGCAAGCTCAATGTTTCTTGGGCTGATCAGTTAAATTGCAATGCCGTGCCTACCTACCTTACCTGATGATGCGTGCCGGCGTCAACTCGTATGTTGGCGTTTTTCCCGCTCGCTCCCCTCCTCTGTCCTCGCAAAACCATTGAGGCACGGGTGGCTGTGGCCAGCCTCGCATGTTCAGTAACAGTCAGACGCTCGCTTTGACTGGCGCTAGTGATGAATGGCGGCATGTCTTGCCTCGTCTGTTGCTTGTACGAGGCGGTGGGCGGCAAGCTGGCGGCGATATGAATTTCATACGGTGTGATTAATTGGCAGCCGTGGCTGAAGCGCTGAGGTGAGCTGCTTGGGAAAATAGCCCAAGGAGGAGGATGTGAGGACTGTTGGGCGCATGTATCGAATACACCGTGTGCCGTGGCTATTTGAAGCCCGTCCATGTGCCAAATAGAGCATGTGAGTAACTACCCACCACCACCTACCAGGGGGGTGGTGAACCAGAAAAAATGACGGTAGTCTATAAGCAGCAGCCGGTCGAATCGTCGAGGTGACATCGGTAGTACTAATTACCTGCTGGTATGCTCAGAAAGGCGTGAGACTTTCGCTGGCTGTTGGGAGGGAAACCTGGCAGTAACTCGTCAGCAACGAGGACGAGACTATCACAAGCCGTTGACGTGTTTCTCAGATGCTAAGAGCAATAAACCCCCAAGGCTGTTGCAAACCTGCAGGTGCCTTGACCAGGTAGGGCAGGCATCGCCAAGACTTGCATGTGGCGGCAATTAGGCTCGCCTCAGGTGGCCACTCCCAGAGACAACCCCGAGCTGTAAAGTCCAATCATCTTGGTGCGCTGCACACGCGCGTGAGGCTGGAACCCTGCCGTCAAACTATGATGAGCTTTGGAGGTAGCGGTAGCGCTGCTCTCAGCTTATTGCCGAGTTGATGAGCGGCGGCTCGTTATGAATACCTGGGCGGTCTAGCAAGCGCTTAAGTGCTAGGTAAGGTCTCTGCTAGCAGCTAGCCTGGATAAGTATTGGGCTCTCGTCCCACCGTGCTTAGTCCAGCACGCGTAGAGTATTGTTGTTTATTTGGTTTTTTGATCTCGACTTCCATCTGGCTTGGGTTGCTTGGGTTGCGGAGCTGGCTGCATGTCAAAAAGTCAAGCAGGTGCTAGTAGGAATCAAACAGGTGCTGCATTGACGGTGGTAGCGCACGTAGCGCAGTGGAAACCCCAGCGCATGGCTTGATGTGGTTGTCACTCAGAGCGAATTGCTGCGATGGCTCGGCCCCATCTTTTACGAGATCTGCCCTCCAGCAACGCTCGACTGCTGCTAGCTGTGTCGATTTGAGTACGAGTTGAGGGTGGAGTGTGGTGCATCATTTGCGGCGGTTCCGTGCCATCCATGGCACCCACGGCCATGCTGCTGCAAATGGATGTAGCTGTACTTGTAGGCCGGAGGAGGCAGGCAAGCAGGTACCTGCCCGCCCAACCTTCCCGTAGTACCAGCACGTAAGGTGCTACTAGGCATATTCAATGCTACCTCTACCAGGTCACCGGCAAAGCAGGTCTGAATCACATCACTGGCAGACAGACAGACAGACAGACAGACAAGGTCCGCCTGGCTCGATTATTATGGAGGTGCAGCAGGTGCCGTAGTTAGTGCTGGGAAGGTCGCCAGGCCTACCGGCGGCAGCGTCAGAGTTCAGAGACATGGTGGTCCCTTCTGCCCACTTGCCTGCAGCAACCCCTGCCCATACCCAGACTGCATCCATCCACCTCCTCCTCTCCCTTTCCTCCCGCTACGTGGTGTCCTTGCCTGCAAACTCACGCCTCCCATTCGTTTTCTCCCGACATTCGCTTTTGGCCCTTTGTGTGTCTGCCAATTCCGCATCGTTGCGCATTTCCTTTCCTCGACCGGCAGCGTGTGTTGTAGCCGCTTGTTGTTTTGCTTTCCCATTTTTGTGTCCTTCCGACCGGGATCAGGAATTGGATACGGGCCTGGTCTCTCCGGTGCCTCCTGTACGATACAGTATTTTCCCACCCCCCGTTTTCCTCTCCTGAGCGACTTGCAATCGACGAACCGTCACCAGCTCGCCTGGATCCCGAGCTCTTGTCCATCCTCCTCGACTCAACTAGAATAATCACCGACATCAGGCAAAATCCATCTTTTCTCGCCCGACGTTTCGAAACCTTCGCTTCGCCGAATACGGCTGCTCTCTTCTCTGGCTACTTTGCCCATCTTTTTTTAATATCACCTGTTCTCCTTTAGCCTCCCCCTTCTCCTCCAGGCTTGGACTCTCCACAGCCTTGTGTGTGTGGCTTGCTTTTTGCGTGCCATTCCATCATCGGTGCAAATTAATGTGAGTCCTTCTCAACCATTCCCGACACTTGGGCAACCGCCCATGTCACTGTCTCAGCACACCCCAGCATTCGGGCTTTCTCATAACGGGACTGGCGTGACCTTTCCATCTCAACCTGTTCCTCACCGTTTTCTACCCAATTCCCTCTGCCTTTGGCTCGTGGCATAAACCTGACCTGCTGCTTCCTACGGACGCTGACCTCCATTTCTTTCAATGCGATGCAGTCATCTTTTGTCATACCTTGTGCATCCTTCTCGTAACTGGGCGGCCGATCGACGAGTCCGAACCCGCGCATAACTTTGCTACCCTTCGGTTTCACGTGGACCCGGCATCCCTCGTTTTCTCGGATTGTAGAGGGTCATCCCGTTCGTTGCCTCAACCAGCTTGAAGCTACCAGTGGCTGTGGCCACTTGTGAATAGTCCCCGGTGATCTTTCTACATGCCTAGATTTTCGACCGCGTTTTACCGGCGGAAATCCACCGCGGATGACTTGACAGCCGTTCAACCATCCCCCGAATCTCCGTCATTTCGTGTTCTCGAACGCCACCCTTCTCCTCCTCCACGGGCTTTTGACGGGGGCGCCAGAATGGCAAGAACCTCTGGCGTCCCCATGCATAAGCCAAGCCCGTCGGAGTTGGATGTTGAGGATAACATATTTGCTGGTTTGAACAATAATCGGTATGTAGCATGAGTCCCCCCCCAATCTCGGAGTCTGTTCTCGGTCCCTGTATGCGTTGTGCATCCGTACCGTCTCCAGCCTGTCTCTTGATCCCTAACACCCTTGATGGTTTCTAGTGCTAATCGAGGTAGCGGAAGCGGAGCATCGAACACCACAAAGGCCACATCGACCGACAACTCATCACGGCATAGTAATGCGTCTACGGCTCCGTCGTCAGCAGACATGGCCAACACTCAGGACGACCGTGGTGGAAAGCGGAAGCCGGCTGCTCAAGAAACCATGCCACGACCACTTACCAAATCAAGCACCTCGAGTTTTCTTGACCGTGCAGGACGAACCTTCTCCTTCGGAATAAAGAACAAGCATCACACCCCCCCTCCCAAGCAGGAGGATGTCCCGCCACTGCCTACTTTCCAACGCGAGGATGAGTATGGCAGAGCCAGGGCTATGACGGCCTCGACAACCAGCACAGCTACTCCACCCAAGCTGGAGGAGGAGAGCAATTTCGATCTAGGTGGCGACTTCGGCTCTATGTTTTCAAAATTCGACAAGCGGGCTAGCGTGGCCACCCTCCGGATGGATGGGAAACAGAACCCATCGCCATCACCCACGAAGCAGCGCCCTCAACAGCCAGGCCCAGTACCTCCCCCATTGGACATCGGAGCCACAAAGGGCCCGGTTGACTCAGCTCCCCCGTCGTGGAACAGTCAGAATTCGTACCAGTCGAGAGAGACTCTGATGAGCCCCCCCCGAGCAGCACAATACGACCAGCCACCACCCGTTCCTCGACATCAGCCTTCATTCGAATATAGGTCTGTGAAGAGCCCTGGGTCTCCGATGGAGGACGAGGATGCTAGACTCCTCGCTGATTCGGTTGCGGCTGGCAAGTTCTTGACAACAGAAATCCCCGAACACGCTGCAGTTGATCGATATAGGCGGGACGAAGACGACTTTACTGTTATGGGCCGAGGACAAGTGGCATCGGACTTTTCTAGGGAGGATAATATGTTTGCGGGCACATCGTCACAATTCTCAAGAAGCACGATCAGGGAAGCCCCTCGACCGGCAAACGCATCTTCTGATAACCCGAACAGCCGAGTTATGACACCTGCAGAATTTGAAAGATATCGGCGAGACAAGGAGCGCGAGGGTCTTGAGAAGGCTGCTTATGGTGAGCCTGCGGATGACGACGACGACGAGGATCCAATCAACTACGACGACGAAGAAGATGAGGACGATAAGTTAAAGCAACAAGCTAAACAGAGGAGGAACCAGCAAGCCCAGATGACAGCTTATCGGCAGAGGAACATGAAGACGACTGGTGAACTTGCTGCGACCACACCGATTTCTCCAGGCCGCCCGACTCTCGGCACGTCGTTGAGTGCACCACACCTTGCCCCGAACAAGACCCCGTCACCTGAACCTGGACATGCAATCGACGAAGACGAGGACGAGGATGTTCCCCTGGCCATCCTTCAAGCGCACGGGTTCCCGAATAAGGGCCGGGCTCCTAGTCGCCTCACCTCCTACGGATCCAATCCTAACCTTCGGGCCTCGGTGATGTTACAACCGGGACGACCTGCATCTGTTGTGGGAGAGCCTGCTTCTCAGTCTTCCAAACGTTTCTCCACTCTCCCAGCGTTTGCTCGTAACCTCCCCCAGGATCCGTTTGTTGGTGCCGGCATTGCCCGGCCTGCTGTTCGAGAATCAATGTCGTTCGGCATTGGTAGCCCGCAGCCACCTCCTCAACAGTCACCACCGATGCACCCTGGAGGCCTTATTGGTGTTATTGCCACGGAAGAGCGCAACCGAGCAATGCGCCGTGGCAGCCCAAATCTGGAAAGTCAGAGAGCTCACTTTGGAGGAGGCATGGATCCCATGATGTTTAATGGTGGCATGCGCATGCCACCTCAGCAGCAACCACCGCAGAACGCGACTCACTTGACCGTTCAGGACCAGGCCCAGCTCCAGATGTCACAACAAATGTCCTCGTTCTTGCAGATGCAAATGCAGTTTATGCAAATGATGGCTGGTCAACAGCAAAATGGTTCCCCTCAAATGCTCCAGCAAATGTCCCCCCAAATGCTCCAGCAAATGTCCCCTCCAATGATGCAACAGCAGATGATGGGGTCGCCGCCAGGACAACAGCAGCCATATGGAGGGTTTGCAGGCAGCCAATCTGTCGCCGACTTCCAGTCAGGCCAGTCCTTTGGTGGATCACCGCCACTCACCCAACCCCGAAGGATGGACGCAAGCATGCGTACAATGAGCATGATCCAGCCCAGCTCCTCCTCTTTCATGCAGCCTGCTTTTGGCAATGGAATGGGACCTGGCGCTGGCTATAGTCCTTCTATTGCACCCTCTGAAAGAAGCAATATTGGCCTCCCAGGGCGCTACCGACCTGTATCACAGGCAGGGTCCCTCACAGGCCAGAACTTTATGCACCAGCGGACCCAGTCTATGTCGGGTGCGACGGCGCTGTCATCATTTGCTACTCCCGATGACTCGAAGGTGGTGCCTACCGTGAAGCTAGTGAGCGAGGCCAAGAACAGTAATAATCACAGTGACGACGAAGATGATGAGGAAGGATGGGCTGCTATGAAGGCAAAGAGGGAGCAGAAGAAATCTAGGTGGCGGCTCAAAAAGGGGTCCACAGACCTCTTCTGAAGGTCTGAGCATTTCAACTCTCCACAATCATTGTGAAAACAAAAAAAGTTTCTCTGTATTGGATAATATTGGTGGTTAAACTCGGGTAATTTGTCAATGATGCATGGATATTCCCCCCCCTCAGACAGATGGGGGACCGACTATTTCACTTCACATCTATATACACCACTTTCATGGCCCCTTTCTGGCCCTTTCTTCCATGATATTACAACTGGATTGGTGGATTTGATAGTTTTGCATCTTGGATAGAATTTTGTCTCTACGTGGTAATTGAATAATGTCGTGGTGGCGTGCCATGAGCAGATTTTTTGCATGACAATTACAAAATTTGGATAAGGTACTTTTGCTTTGTGACTCTGGCGATTTTACATGTATGCGATGACTTGCAATACATCCCTATTCTGGGTAAGATGCTCATGATGTGGATGGACTGTATGCACGAAAGAGAGCAAGTAGATATCAATTTCCTATTTTTTGTCAAAGGTGACTCTATCCCTCGATCTTTCCAGTGCCCCATTCCTGTCTCTTTACACCCATCTCGACAGCTGCCGTGCCCCAGTCCTCGCCGTGGTTGTGACCTTTGCCGTCAATGCCAGCCCGAGCCTTTGCCTGCTCCTCATTGAGCACGGTGAGAATGCCAAGAATGACGGGAATGCCCGTATCCAGCTGAACCCGCATCAGACCGTGCACGGCGGCATCCGCGATGTACTCAAAGTGCATTGTCTCTCCCTTGATGAGAACACCGACGGCGATGACGGCGTCGAATGGGCCTGAAGAGCTGTTGGTGAGGGAGGTCAGGTCGGAGGTGGACGCGGCGAGCAGGTCCGTCGCGGAGGGGGCGCCGGAGGTGTTGGACTGGATCTGGGAGGCGGAGATGAGGCTGAGGAGGAAGCTCTTGGGTTAGCTTTTGCTGGGTGTCCGAGGCCGGATCGCTCGGGGTAGGAAGCCTGCGACATGAGTTGAAGCCGAGGGGTGGAGGGCTCTACTTACCGCTGGACGGCAATGGGCAGTTCCCAGGAGCCAGGGCAGGATTGGACGACGATGTTGGACTCCTTGACGCCGGCAGCTAGGAGCTTCTCCTTGGCGCCAGCGACGAGGGGCTCGATGATGGACTCGTTCCATCGGGCGTGGACAATGGCCACTCGGAGGCCGGAGCCGTCGTGGTGCTGGGGGCTGGGTCCTTTGAGATACATGGCTCCGAAGTTGGGTAGGGTGGAAGGCGCAGGTGAGGGTGTGAAGGCAGGTTTTGCAGAATCGGGACAAATTGATGCTTATTGATGGTTTGGGAGGAAGCTTCGAGCTATCTGGATGGATGGAGGGGTCCTTCGGGTCCCTGGTGGAGACCCACCATTATTAGAGATGCATTGCGTCAAGCGGGGCTTCTGATGTGGTCGCAAGAGTGGTAGTTGCACGAGTGTTACTTGAAGGGATGCCAAGGGGACAACCCCCACTTTCTGCGCTGTGAAGCTTTTCCATGCCTCTAACAGACATTCAGACTATTGTTCCTCACAAAACCGTGAGCCTCAATAATACTTTCAAGTTGAGATACTGCAGAGGCGCCATGCCCTCTAGATCAGATATTACTTATTTTGGTGCAGGCCCAGCTCTGCTACCTACTGTCGTCCTCGAGGAAGGTGCCAAAGCTCTCCTGAACTATCATGATACCGGCCTGGGCATCGCCGAGCACTCTCATCGCTCCCAGCTAGCTAGCGATATAATTAATCAGACTAAAGCCGATCTGGCCTCTTGTCTTGATATCCCAGATAGCTACGAGATACTCTTTATGCAAGGTGGCGGCACAGGAGAGTTTGGTCAGTGCAACTCCTTTCCTCTCGTGGTCATGACTTGGGAGTAGTACCAATAGAGCCTTCCCAGATAATGCTTCTTTAGCTCTCAATTTGTCTTAAAGAGGAAAGACTGACACCATAACATCGCAGCTGCTACGGTGTATAACTTTGTTGGCACTTGGGTTGCCCGCAAGTTGCAAGACATCATTAGGGATAATGAGTGCGATTCTACGGATCCTAAGGCGATCGAGCAACTCAAGGAGGCCGTCGACAAGGATCTCAAGCTCGATTAATTAGTCACCGGCGGCTGGTCACATAAAGCGTCAGTTGAGGGCGAGCGGCTTCTTGGCTCAGAGCATATCAACATTGCGACAGACAGCCGCAAGACGAACGGCGGCAAGTTTGGCACCATTCCAGAAGAGAGCACCTGGAAGCTGTCCAAGGATCCCGCCCTGGTGTATTTTTGTGCAAATGAGACAGTTGATGGGGTTGAATTTCCTGACTTCCCCCAGTCTCTTCAGCCGGGGCCTGATGGAAAGGGACCAATCGTTATCGCGGATATGAGTTCGAACATCCTCACAAAAAAGATTCCAATCAACAACTTCTCCGCCATCTTCTTTGGCGCCCAAAAGAACCTCGGCCTAACCGGCATCACTGTTGTGGTTATCAAGAAGAGCTTTTTACCGCCTGCTACATCTCAACCTCCTGCAAGTCTTATGAGACAACTAGGCCTTCCTATTCCACCTACCATTTTCCAATACGAGACTATTGCAAAGAACAACAGTCTCTATAATACGTTAAGTATCTTCGAGTAAGTCCTGATTACAGTCATATCTATGATTTATAAATGGGTCTAATTATTTATTAGCGTATACATCATCGGCCAAGTTCTTGGAAAGTTCTTGCAAACATACCCCGACAAGGTTGAAGGACAACAAGCTGTGTCTGACAAGAAGGCCCAACTTATCTACGATGCTATTGAAGCTTTCCCCGAGATTTATAAGATCATTCCCAACAAGGCAGTACGGTCGCGTATCAATATTTGTTTCAGGGTTACCAAGGGTGATGATATCGATGCCGCAGAGAGAGTCTTTCTAGAGGAGGGTCTTGCCCAAGGACTGATTGGGTTAAAGGGACATCGTTCGCTTGGTGGAATTCGCGCAAGCAACTACAACTCTGTTCCTCTTGAGGGCGCAGAGAAGCTTGCGAAATTCATCCGCGCTTTCGCGATGTCATAAGAGCAGCTTGTCGGCAAAGCATAGGTGTCCGACCTCGCAGCCTTTGGCCTGACCTCGGGTCAGATCTTGGGGGAACAGAGACAGTGTGACCGTTAGGTTGATGCCGGACCTTCTTGAGGTTGGCCATCGCTCCGGCCAACATGATCTAAGCTGCGGCAGTGGCAGAACTTCAAACATCTACGATACAGTCGTAACAAATCACGTGCCCCTTTATTGCTTCATAGCCATTCGAATAATCGCAGCCCGGGTTGTTCCTCTTGTGCGGCTACCCTGTCAGAGTAGGAGTTGGTCGATTACGATTATTTATGAACTTTTGACGACGGAACAAGCTTTTGGATACCAAGGACCTTTGATATATATGGCCGACGTCGGGGCACAGACGTGGTTTCGAGGGCTTTCCCAAGCGTGACATCAGCATTCATGACGTCCAAGCCTCCGATGTGCTGGCTTCGTGTTGATTCCCTTGAGGCATCGTCATAGTGCAGATAACTTCTGAGCGTCATGGGTATATGTGTGGACTTTGAAGGTACTGGTTGTTTGGCCAATTACCTCATCCACGAACTTATGGTAGAGGCGACCTAAGGTGGAAATCGCGCCCGCGCACACGATCGTTAGACCGCGAGCTCATGCGCATTACCCAATGTGATTTGGGGACGGGTGATGAATGGCTTGGAGGCAGTGGCGGGGCATTCGACGAGTGCCTCCGCAGTCTCGCTTCGGCGGCGGCACGCTTTGCCGAGCACTCGGTGCTGCTGCCCAAACGGTCAATGTACTGTATAATCGAACTTGTAAAGGAAATAACTCTGAATACTAGCGGACGCGAAAATAACCAGCGAAGGCGAAACGAAAGAGTAAATTTCGCTAACTTAACTACCGCAAGGATAACGCTACTATCTTCTATACCGGCTACTACTGCGTTCGTAGCTTCCCTGGCCTCATAATATCCCCCTAGTTATAGTCTACCAGCAGGTTGATTGTCTCTAGTGGCTTGGTCTTATTATAGGACATATTACGCCTGGTGGAAAGGCAGTTAAGTGCTGCCGAACCGGCGACAGAGGGTGAAGCACCCGCTGAAGGGGTTCTCGTTTTGTGCTCCTGCACGCGTCGCATGGACCGAGCTCCAAGTCGCCTCGGCCGTGACAGAGGATGGCCGCGATGGTAAGCCCGTTTGACTCCTTGAGGTGCTTGATAACTGGGTGCAGGTCTGGTATTTTGCTCTGAAGAACTCTTTTGCCCAGTTTCGTGACCGCGGAAAGTTGATCGCCCGTGAGCACCGAAAGCAGCTCTGCTCAAACTGCCTCGATGCGGACCTCGACGTCGGAGGCACTCCTAGGGTTATTCCAGGTGAACGTGACGAGGAAGCCAGGCATGCTTGCAGGTCGGCAAAATCCTTGACTACGGTGGACGTAGATGATAGGCTGGACATCAAGGCCGCGCTAGGGCCTCTTCAAAAAGCAAAGAGGACGCTTCCAAGTTGCCCTACTCTCCCGCTTTAGTCGATCATCCATACCGTCTGACAAGACACCAGGAGATATATATTTGTCCCCGATGCGCGGTGAAAATTAGATCGCGCTTTCTCTTTTCATTTCTTGGCTCTTGGTAACGATTGGTACCTGCCTCTTGCTATGGTGAAGGAGGTCTTTCGTCCACAACGGCAGGAGCGCCCCTCGGCTGGCTCCTGCCTGGTAAAATATGGATGAAAGATGGTAAAAATGTGCAACCTCGACTCGTGTAGTTTTGCTTCTCCTCATCAGGAAACGAGTGGTATGTCACCCAGTGATCCTGGCTACCTACCTAGTTCTTTCTGTTTTGAACCCATGTAGCTGGAATTCCGTTCTTGTCTCAGCATGAGCATCGTCGAACTCCCCTCGGCAACGGCCAGGCAGCTCGGTGCGTCATTGGACATTGTGGATCCGTTGGCACTAACAAAGGAGCTCCTGGAAAACTCAATTGATGCGGGTGCGACGCATATTAGTATCCTAATCTCGCCTAACACGGTCGACAAGATACTTGTCCGCGACAATGGCTTTGGGATCCCGCCAGCTGATTTCGATGCGCTTGGTCGGAGATCTCATACGAGCAAGTTGGAGACAATCGACGATTTCCAAAAGCGTGGGATAAGGACCTTGGGTTTCAGGGGACAAGCTCTCGCAAGCGCTAACTCTATCGCTGCCATTACAATCACGACACGAGCGTGTGGTGATGCTGTGGCTTCCCAGCTCCGCTTGAAACACGGCTTCGGCGGGGTGGAGGGGAGGGATGTCACGTCGGCACCAGTGGGAACCACGGTCAAGGCCGAATTTTTGTTTGAAACAATGCCAATCAGGAAACGTTATGCCATCAAGGAGAGCCAGAAGACGCTGTCGAAGATCAAGGAGTTACTTCGAGCTTTCGCCCTAGCCCGGCCAGATATCAAACTATCTTTTAAAGTCCTCAACGACTCGAAGAATGGATGGGACTATGCACCCTCTCGTACAGCCACGGTGCAAGATGCGGCGATGCAGATATTTGGGAGGGAGTTACTAAACCAGTGTAGCTACGTTGAGATGAAGCGGGACTTCCCCAACGCAGGAGACGAACTCAATGTCGGCGAGGGTGTTGTGATGGGCTTCCAGGCCTTTTTACCAAAGCCAGGACTTGACCTTACAAAAGCGAAAGCTAAGGGGAGGTTCTTTTCAGTCAATTCGAGGCCAATCGCATCCAATCGCGAGATATCTTTGAGATTCATCTCCACCGTCAAGACCTTTCTCTCGGAAGCTAGCGGTAACCTCGCCGCCGCAAGCCGTGCTTCAATTCCGTTCATGCAGCTCAACATCCAATGTGACCCAAATAGTTATGATGTGAATGTGACGCCTCTTAAAGACGAAGTACTCTTTGCAGAGGAAGAACAGGTCATGAGATGCTTCGAGGCCCTTTGTCGGACAATTTATCAGCAGTCAGCCGAGGAGGCGCACCAGCCGGAGGAGAAATCAAGACAAGACGTTGATTTCTCCGTAATTCTTCAAGATGCCGACAAGCATCCTACGCCGGATTCTTCGCCCCTGGGAAAGGTAACTTGCCAGCCATGAAAACCACAACTCAACATGAACTAGCTAGCTGATAGATGTACTAGGATACTGGCTTCTCTGTGGACAACAAGATGAGCAGGCAAAACGAGAGCTTGCAAATTGGGCAATCTCTACTTAACAAGGAGGCAAGCAACTCTGATGTTCAAGAGGGGATAGGCGAATCCACTTCGTATACCCCAATGCGAACGGGCTTTGGAGTCAATCTTGATCACACCCAGAGCAGCGGTACTGATAAGGTCAGCAGCAGTGATGAAGTCATGATTCAGATTCCCCTGAGGCCATTGCTGCCGAACAAATGCGTGTCGACAAAAGGAAAGCCGAAGGCTTCTACGTCCCTACCTGGCCAAGCACTTTCCATGGGAGATATCCATCGATACTTCAAGCCCACAAATCAATATGATTTTGAGATTGCTACTGACGATACCGCAACTGAACCGAACCAATTAACTGCTCCGCCATCCCCACGGCTTGTTTCTTCGGAACGAATTAGAAACCGCCGACTGCCCTTGCAGCCCGTCGGAGAGGGAAGGTTGAATATTCTCAATAATGAGGGCGGGGATAGATCGAGGCTTGATGATGGCAACGAGGTCCATTTACCCCCTATATTGAGTCCAATCGCTGGCCGAATGATAGGATCTGGTCAACACTTGAATCCGGACCAAGGTATATCAAGGATAGAGACGACGTTCCGCAGTCAGCCTCGGCGACATGCTCAAACCATTCTCCCCCCTGGACATCTTTTGTCGACTGGGACGCCTTTAAGACAGACATCAAATGCTATGGACACGCCCCCAGCTTCAAACGATTTCGCCAACGCCTTTTCAGTTGAGAGATATCGAGGCATCGATTACAGCTCCAGTCCGAGACAGGGTCGCCGGTTGGCTCCCAGAGTTAGAAGAAGTCCGACAGCTACACGAAGGCGAATACTGCGTCCAGATGAGACTTTCCGAACAATTACATCAACCAGGGAGCAACGCGAAGAGAGTTTAGACATGCCTGGATCGAGAAGGACATTACCTCTTCCTGAATCGCCATACCACAACTTGGATCATAGCATTGGAGCTTCTCCTAGCCTTTCTGTTTACGATACCAGCGCCCCTGGGCCCTCCGCCTCTCACCCATACTACTTTTCAGGTTCAAATCGGCATCAGGCAGTTGAAGAGGAGCCAGGGCCTCTCAATCTGCTACCAAGGATTGAGCCCCCATTGGCCAGGCCTGGCTCAACAATGCCAAGACATGTGAATGGAGAGGGTGCTGCTGGGATTTCAAGTTCAAAGCGCCAATGTAGGCGTAGAACTTCATCAACGACGAAAAATCTTCCACTTGAAAGAATACCGCTTACATTCGAGACATATTCTCTTCTATCGGTGGTGGAAGCTTCTTCTACTTTCAAGTCTAGCATGGCGAAAAATTTGATCTTTGACGATTTCAAGCTTCAACGTCTAGAATTTCGAAATACTCATGAATCCCTCAGTGTCGAAAGGCGGCTTATGATGACGGTGGGCATCTGGAAAGAAGGCCAAACCGGGGATATAGAGATCGAGTATACGCTCCGATCGCATATTAAAGGGAAGGGAACTATGTGACGCTATGACGTACATGGCCAAGAAAAAAAATACCACCCTTTCCTTCACTGACACCTTCTTCTTTCTGGTACCGGATGCGTTCATTTCATGACACATTGGCATATGCGCATGCCTCTGGGTTCGGGCTACACCTAGCTGTGTTTACGGGACTGAGGTAGATTGACTGAAGCAGAGGTGAGCTCACCATGTACTATGTATAAGGCCCCCCACATTGCATGGTGGATTCACAAGTTGTCCAGATTGGGAAGCGCGAAATCTGCTTAAAATAGCATCAATAGTTGGCACTGCCTTGTGACAGAAGGGCCGCGGACGAATGAAAGGTTGAGAATTATTTGCCTGGATTTCTGAGGGTCCAATGAACGGCAAGCTGCGGAATAGACATGGCATTGGCATTTCTCGTATCTGTTGTTCTTTTGTGGGGCACCGGGCCCAGCAACATGAGACGTGCCGTCATCCTGAGAGGCTAAGGAAGAATCACAGCTAATGATTATGTACATGTGTGTAATCGCTGCGTACCACTCCGCTAGCAAATCGATCGCAGGTTTGTCCCGCAGAAGCGAATGCGACGCGGGCGGTTTGTGCTTGCTTTTGTAGCCGGCTTCGGGCCGTGATTTTCAACACAAGATTTGCTGAAGGAAGGTTTATCGCTTCCTGAAGATTTGGAAGGATGCGAAACAAACAGTTCCTGGGTTGGTGCCCACTTTCCCACTGGGGCTGTAAATACCATCGCGTCTACGGGGCGCAGCATCAGCTGGCTCCCCCTCTAGGTTCCGCCATATGGCTGCTCATTTTTCGTATACGCACACGCAATGGAGTCTGATGTGTGAGATCATTGTACCTGAGAGGAATTGGCTCATCCGCATGCCACCTGGATGACCAGGGCTATTGTGATAGTCGGTACCTAGCCAATTCCATCTAGTCGTGGATAGCTTTCGACTTGGTCCCTTTATTTCATCTCCCTCGCTCCCTTGGGGGTAGCTGCCTTCTATTTGGATGCTACTATGTAGTATCCAGCTGCGGGCTTTTATCCCTTCGTACTACCTAATCATGTACATAGAGACACGAAGGGCAGAGGCAGGGCTGCATCGTACGGCGGGATGACAACACCAACCAGTGCCGGCCCCCTGTTGGCAGGTACTCTGTAGGTGGGAGTCTTGAGTTGCGCATAATGGGATGAGCATTCTTGAGGGTGTTTGAGTCACTCTTCTCCTAACATTCCAGAGGCCCCGCGGATCCCGCGGGGCTCATGCGGCAAGTGCTCATAAATGAATGGCCTTCTCGGCCAAATCTTTGCTGAAATCCAGGATGAAAGAAGGAAATACGTTTCCTCTAGCAAGCGTTGCGTGGCCTTCCTCCAGGCTGGCGGTGCCTCCGTTAGTGTTTTGAAGGTACCTGCCACAGCACAGGCACGATGTACCTGCACCAACGTTTTCCGTTATTCTTGCTTGGCTCCCATTATTAGTAATTAGCCTGTATCTTGTGCATTGCCTGCCGTGTCTATGCCTGGCCAAGTGTGACCTGGACCTGCTTCTGGGCAAGTACCTACCTAGATTCGCAATCGTACCACCATCACCCGGCCGAGGTCAATCAATCCAGCGCAGCCTGACTCTGGGGCTATGGTGCCTACGCTACGTCGACTAAGGGCCTTAGACACCGGTAGCGTGCCTCGCTGCTAGCTTACAGAATCGCAGCCAGGGGAGCTCAGTTGGGCAAAGGCCAGTGGAGGACCTACCAGCATTAACCCGCCGTATTGTCGGGGTCAGCTCGCGTACAGATCCAGGGCCCAGGAATCACGATCAGCAAATACCCACCACGGCGACCCAACTTGCTTCCATCCAACAGCAACAACATCGATCTCCAGCCTGGCCATCCCGTTCACTCTCGTTCCGTCCGTGCCCGCCATTCCATTCGCTTTTTTCTCGACGCCACAGCCCATCTGACGCACCCTGGGCGTCTCTTGCAGGTCGCATCCTCGATCCCTTGCTGCCTCAGCTTGCCGTCCGACGAATACGTCCTTTGCCGCCCGTCTTTTGGCTCGGCCTTGCTGAGAACCTTTACATTTTCGGCTCCGCTCTCTCGATACTACCGTCCCGAACTACCTGCTATTCTCCCAGAGCTGTGTCTCTCGCTTACGACCACGTCTTAACCGCTCCCTCCCTTCCGCTCGACGATCCCCTTTGCGCCCACGGCCATCCTCAAGACCAGCTCTTTCCGAACATCTCCCTGATTTAGTAAATAATGCTTATTCCCTAAACAATCCCGTGCAAGGTTTGGCTGTACTTGGCCTCCCCATTCGCCAAGCATGCGGCTGATCTCTGGCGCCCCCGACAGCTGCCAGGGCAGTGGTGTCGTTGCATATTGTACACCAGCGAGGAGGAGGCATCGGATGGCAAAGACTGGCTTTGGAGCCAATGACGATGAACTTTCAGTAACGACCGATACACGACGTCTGAAAAATGTAGACAGGAGACCTACGGTCTGCTCAGAGCAGAAGGGGCGGCATACCAGGACTAAGAACAGCCCTGGAGCGCAAACATATTGGCGATATCGTCAATCAACGGCATGGAACCTGCTGGTCTCGTTGATCCTCCTGTTCCTTACTACAACACCTGTGTTTGCCGCAAAATTACCATTTCAGAACTGTCTCTCCGACGACTATCTGTCCGCAACACCACCTAAACTACAATTTGCACCAGCGGAGGTTCACGCCTTTTTCGACACGGAGAATCCCAGCCACAAGCTTGAAGTTATCGTGTATGGGAATGTCACTGGGTCATATAATAGAGTTACCCTTCCAGGGGAAGGGGACCCTCATTGGTCCGATGTGACCCAGACCGACGGCAAGATTCTTAGGCAGCCCGAGGGCGAGCAGGGAAAGGCGACTACGCTATTTCGCCATGTCGACGTGCTCACATACAGGCCATATCAACAGCCAGACGTGGATTTTTGTTCTGGGGGTCTGGGCGCTGGCGCACAATGTCCGTTGGGCCCCGTGTGGCGCGTGGAGTAAGTGTCTAGATTGCTACCATGGTCCCTCTTTGATACTAATGATCTGTCTAGCGACTTCCCGTATGGACTCCCTACAATTAATATCACGGGCGACGTCAATTCGTCCTATGTTTTCACATCTTTCTCGCCCAATTTTCTCATTACCTATGGTGACGTCAACAAAACCACCATCGGTTGTATCACGGCGACGGTCACACCTGATCTTGGCGACTATGCCCGGATAATCGAGTTTATCCCTCTTCTAGTCCTCGCCTTGACTGCCTTTGCTACTATCTTTGCCGCCATCTGGAGTCCTTGGGGCACAACAGATATCTTCCACTGGACCTCGAACTATGGCCGTGACACAGATCTCCTAAGATTAGTGACTCCCGGTTTCGGCGACTGTTTGCACCATATCCAATTTGCGGTGTTGACAGGGTCACTGAGCCTATCCTATCCTGGCTTTTATCAACCTATCGTGGGCCAGGTGGCTTGGTCCGCGCTCCTATTCAACCAGACGATTGCCACCAACAGTTCGACCTACTACCAGCCTGTTCAGGATGGAGTGTATGTCCTTGACGGCAGTTACGGATTGCACAGGTTGGGCCAGCTTGTGGGCTTGGAGTTGACTGCCGACCTTTGGCCAGGCATGATGGTCTGGCTCTGTGTCGTTGTGGGTTCTGTTACGGTGTTGGCACAGGCCGCCTTCTTGCTCCAATGGATCTACCGAAAAATCAGAAATACGTCCGAAGAAGACCTCCGGTCAAAGAATATCCCCTTTTCTATCGGGAATGTGGTCCGCATCGTTTTCAACTTCTTTCTTCTTCCTGTTGTGTCACTCTCTTGCTTCCAGTTGGTTGTAGCTGCTGATTCTTCGCAAGCTGCTGTGGCCATTGCGGCACTGACCGTTGTCGCCATTATAGCCTTCACAGCCTGGGTGTTCCGACTTATTCTTCGTGCGAAACCCAAGTCGATTCTGTTTGACGATCTACCTACAGTCTTGCAATACGGACCACTGTACAACACATACTCAGACCAAGCTGCTGCGTTTGCTCTAGTCTCAACAATACTCACCATTATTCGGGGCATTGCTATTGGAGCTGTTCAGCCCAGTGGCATCGCTCAGATTATCCTTCTTGCTATCTGTGAGGTGGTCTTCATGTTCGCCTTGCATGCCTCCCGACCCTACCACCCAGGGACATCGATGAACGCATATCATACTGTTTTTGCCTTTCTGCGTTTGATTACCATTCTTTTGATGGTTGCGTTTATCCCCCAGCTGAGTGTGACGGATAATGTGAAGGGCTGGGTTGGCTATGCAGTCTTGCTTTTTCACGGCGCTTTTCTCATTCTTGGTTTCCTCATTAATGCCTTACAAACCATATTCGAAGTAACGGCGTTGATGCTTGGAGCCGGTGGAGATGACGCTCATGGCTTGACGAGAGGAGGTCTTTCGAAGATCTTTGGCATGCGGCAGTTATCACGTCGACCAGGGCAGCGCGCTGGCCCATCGCGGGCAAGCCAACTCTCTAGTTCGGCCATGCTGGACCAGGAAGATAATTCCAAGAATGGATTCGCAATGCCTAGTGGACGGGTAAGGAGCGAATCTGCCGGGAGCCTGAATGGTATGCTTGTTCCCCGACACAGAAGCAGCTCAGCTCTAGACAGTATCGATATGTATGCCGGTTACCATCGTCCAGGCGGGAGCGTAAGCTCATACATGCCCGGAGACACACCGCAATTCTCCGCCGCCAACACTCCCACGTTGGGCCGAGGTCAAGGACCAGCCCTGCCGATGGAGGCTGCTGGTCCATACTACCGTCCTCCCCGTAGGCGTCATGAAACAATGGACAGTCAGCCAGAAAGTCAGCGAGGATCGATTCACGTAGAGACGAAACAACGCCAGAGTCTGGGCCCCGGCCCGCTTCTCGGAGACGCTGGCGAGATGGGTGCAGAGATCTCTCGAGGACCCACGCCTGCCAACGCAATCGCTAGTTTGGCTAATATTCCAAACCGCCCCGACTACTCGACGCGAGAAGTTGACTTTTACTATGGTGTCACTCGTGGGCCGGCTCTAAATTCTGATGGTGCTGGTAGGAGGCTTGGGACAGGGCCTGCAGATCCCACTGGCCCAGTAGCAACCGCCACAGGCTGGTTGCGCGGCTTTCTTGGGGGAAAAACTAAGGAGAAGGGCAAGGGTTTCGAAGTTGTCAGAAGTTCGAGAATGCCTCCGGCTATGATGGCTCGCAATGGTGAACACCCGGAAGGCATCCCTGTTGCCATGGGCGTGCTTCGGAACGGACCAATCGACTCCGACGATGAGGACCAACCGGCCTCCAAGGCAAAATTGAAGGCTCGACCTGGCACTCTTCTTACAGAGACAGGCGAGCCTCGGGGTCCGGATGAAGATGAGCCAGATAGTCCAGCTACCGATCGTCTCCCCCGCGGGTCCAAACCTTTGTCACGCCAAGACACGTTGGAGCAGCCCCCTGAAGTTCCACGGAAAAGTTCAAAGAGGAATTCGGCGTTGATAGACAGCTCCAAGAACTCTTCGGTGACGGATCACGGTGCTGAACCATCATCCAGGTCGGTCGATGAGCCAGGGCAAAGTAGTGAAGCTGCAGGAACAGGAATCATCCATTCACGACTGCCGTTCGAGAGGACGGCATCGCAGAAGCGGAGGCTTTCTAATCCATCCTCGATGGAGATTTCCATTGACCTCTCCCGCGAGCCAAGCACCAGACTTGGTGAACGCCCTGCTAGCTTCGGTCTCGTATCGCAACATAGTATTAGCCGTGTGGATCCACAGCACGGTGATACTGAATTGCTTGGAGCATCTGCGGAGTTGGTGGATGAGCCATTACACGGCAGACGTTGAAGATCTTTATCCCTTGATCGAAAAGTGTCACACTTCTATCCATTCAGAATATACTACTTTGTACCAGAGCCCTGATTAGGCATTCGTTACATAAAACTCTCGAACACATTATCTTATCATCGTCATCATCATGGGGCGGAGAGTACAGCCCTTTATCTGTTATCTTTACGGATTGAGGAGAGACGGGCATTTGCACGTTTCTATCCACAGGCCACGACTTTGGGTTGTTTGATTCAAGTCCATCGGGTTCATTCGATATTTATTGCAAGGCGTTGGGCTCATTTTTCGAACACGAGTTTCTTTTTGTTTTGGATCGGCCTGCACTTTGCTTTTTCCAGTTATTATTTCGGTCGTCCTTAATTTCTCTCATTGCGCTCATCCATGGGCTTCACTTCCGTTGGGGATTCATCATTGAAACATAGTAGCGCCGGCGTACCATCCTGCACAAAAGTTGATGCTTTTCTTTTCCTGGACGGTTGGTTTTTGAGGATGGCATGGGTCTGGCATCAGAAGATAGTAAGTAGATTTATGGAAACACGGGGATCTAATATGAGATGAATCCATCTCAAACATTATGGCGGGAAATCTGTTAGTATCAGGTGGTAATGTGTGTTTATTGTCCTATTGGGCATTGCTCATGTACTTAGTTCCTTTTTTTCTTCCCTCTTCATTTTAACGCTTACGAATTAATGAATGGTGAAATATATTAATTCTCTAACCTGGATCTCCAACTCTATGAAAGGTGACACTGCGAGGGAATGTCAGTCTAACATACCTAGAAAACAAGTAAGATGGGGGGGGGCCGATACTAGGAAATCCGTTTCTCTATTCTTTTGGATGGTTCTCTGGTATGCTTTCCTATGATCTACGTTGTATCCATGAGTGTATCTAGGTTATGCATGAAAACATGGTATAATCCACAATGGGCTATCCCTCGGCTTAAATATGCATCTGAACTTATTTGACGCCAATGAAGCCGATGCCTGCTCTGGCCCTCTGGGCGGCCTTCTTCAACGCCTGCTCCTCGACGTCGGTCCATTTCACGCTCAGCTGGTCCCACTTGCTCCCGGGGGTGTTGTACTCCTTGCGCCACTGCGCCTGCATCTGCTGCAGCCGGGCCATCTCCCGGGGGTCCCCCGAGCCGCTGTACACGATGAAGGCGGTGCAAGGGGGCAGGGCCTCGTAGATGGTCGCCAGGCGCGTGGCGAGCGCGACGAGAGCCTGCTCCAGGGGCGAGGAGGAGGTGCCCGACCCGGCCTCCTCCGCTGCTGCCGGCGGCCCGCCGTCGCTGCTGGAGTTGTCGACGCGGTTCTTGTTCCACCAGCCCTGCAGGGCCTCGAGCTCGCGCATGCGCGCCCAGACGAAGTCGACGCCGCCGCCCCTGATCTCGCGGCCGTCGGGGTCGCCGTTGACGGCGCGGATGACGTTGGTGGTCACGTCCTCGTCCGTCCTGCACCCGAGCTGGTGCGTGGCGCCGGCGCCGGCGCCCTTAGATGGCTGGCCCCAGTCCACTGCGGCGCTCGTCTTGCCGACCTCGACGCCGCCGACCGCCGTCTCCCCGCCTTGTGCTTTGTATGCCGTGCCCGCCCTGGCGAGGCGGCGGAAGAGGTTCTCGCCCTGCGAGTCGGACGAGCCCCAGAGCTTGCCCTTCTCACACTTTTGCTTGACGAGGTCGAGGCAGGTCTTGGCGTCCTCCACGCTGTCGTGGCCGCTCGCGCCGCCCTTTTGGATTTCTCGCGCGAGGTACTTCTGGGCGAGCCATTTCAGGGAGGATTTGAGGGGGGGGCCACGGGGGTGGGGGTAGAGGATGGAGGTGTCGACGATGAAGGGGTGGGTGAGTTGGAGGGCTTTTGTGTCGGACTCTAGGGAGTGTCCTATGAGGATGGTTCGGGGGTGTAGGATTTCAAGGAGTTTTTCTTGGATGTCTTGGAGGGTGGTTGTGACGGGGGCGAGCATCTCCTCGGTGATGCCTGAGAACTGGGTGACGTAGTTGGTGATGGGCTTGCTGGGCTTGACGAGCTCGTCGAGCACGGTCTCGCCTGACCAGTCGACGAGGCTGATGCGGGTGAGGGAGAACTCGTTCTCGCCCGTCATGCACATCTCGCAGTCCATGGCGAGGATCTCCCGGCCGGCAGTGATGCTGCCCTGCTGGATTTCGCTCTCGGGGACGTCACCCTCTTCGAGACTGTTCACTTTGGTAGCGACCCAGCCCTCGGGTGCTACGAACCTTTCTCGCTGATCTTCGGGGAGCATTGCGGGGTGGACTAGGTAGCCGTTGTCTTCTAGGTCTTCTACCGTGGAGATGAACTCGGTGATTCGCGTCCTCTCGTTCTTCCAGCCTTGTGGCTCGGAAGCGAGCTTCACGCCAAGTCCCTTTTTGTTCTTCTCTTTGTTCACTGGGACTGTGAGGAAGGCGGCCATGGGGGAGTGCATCTTGCCGTGCTTGTCATCTCCTGGTGTCCGGATGGGCCATAGGAGAGGGAACATGTCGGCGAAGGGTTTCAGCGCATCTGGGATCTCATCTTTCACCAACTTCCGAGGGTAGTAGCTATCGGGAGATGACTGGGAGGGCCCCTGATCCTCGCCTCGCTCATCATACGCGCCGTAGTCAACGCCAGCTTTGAACATGGCCTCCTCTAGGCCGGGGACCATGATGGTCACGATCTTCCTGAAGTGCGGACGGTGGCTTATAGCCACCCACTGAGGGGCAGGACCATCCGCGTAGATGTACGTCACGAGATCCCGAAGGCTGTTGAGGTTGACCTTGGCATTGAGACGGGCATTTGGGGAGAAGCTGATGGCGGGATAGCTTTTGCCGGGCTTGGGGAGCTTCTTGGCCTTCTTGTTGGGCCGGGATACGACCTGCCATTCGCCACCGTCGTCGTCCTCGTCGTGAGTTGTGGCGCGCTTCAGGCTCCCATCGCTGTGGTTGTTGGATGACGACTCCGTCTCCAAGGGCTCGCTTGCAGCCTTTTTTTTGCCCATGACTAAGAGGGCGCGATGAGTCTCCGTGGCTGCGCCTGTATCAAGTCCGGGGTGGATATGGGCGAGCCCTATGTAGACTTATGATCTGGGAGGTATAGCCAAGCTCTGTCTGGCTCGGTCTAGGTGTGACTGTGCTTAGCAATGCGCAATGGGATTCGGTAACTTGGCCGTTGTCAAGATTAGCATCTTGAAAACTGCAGCATTTCGATGAGACGAAGTTACTTATCTTATCGGCCGACATATTTTAGCGGGAAGAGTGGAACAGCTAGGCTGGAATAGATATGGGTCCGAACCGGGCAAGTGGGCGTCAGAATAACAGGGACTGCAAGGTGTTTTAATCCCAACTTTCCAATACAGGCCCGATGTTAATAGACGATAGTTAATTATAATTAATGATGATGAATTACTGAGAAGTTGGTAGGTAATAATATTTGCTTACTATTATATAATAGGAAGCACTATGATGTGACTGACTGCTATAGTAATTATGTCGAGGTGACTTTATAGTCCCTGTTTTTCTGACAGCCATTTGCCAGGGTCCTCAGTGACTTGGTACTTTACAGTGCTCAACATCAACGACTCAGCACGCGTCGAGGTCACTAAATCGCGTAATCAGACAGGCATTTGGACGAGCCCATCACTCGTCCAAGATTGATATCAACAGACAGTGTCCCGCCGGTCTGCTCGCAGTTCCTTTAATCGTCTCATCATGGATTCAGTTTACTGCTACTGCACCTCCTGTGATGGCCGGATAGGCTCCGTGTCAAACCACTGGATCAAAATCGGCAAGAATTACTTGACACCAGCGCTGCAGAGCAACGTCGACTTTGATGTGACGACATCACAGAAGATCCGTATCGGCGAGAAAGACACACTCCTCGATAGATGGTAAGATATACACCCTCCGTGATGTATTATTTACGAAATGAGCTAAACCTAGGATTCAGTGGATTACAGAGCACCCAGTGTGCGATATGTGCTTCAACCCTGGGAATGAAGACTGTATTCGCGCCATCAAATCATGTCCTCTGCCCGTGAGTTGGCAATGCCATCCCATGATTCCAAACTTCAAATATACGGATTCGTCTAATGATTGATTCTATTTTCGATTGTTCTTGCAGTGGCCAATTCATATTCCGAACGTCGGCACTGGTCTTGAAAGAAACGCCGGACGCCGCCGGCACCATCAAACCGGGGATCAAACGCAGCTTAAAGTTGAAAGAAGACGTGGAAACTTCCAATGCTCTCGTTTCTCAGCCTTCAGCTAAAGACTCATATGCTAGACCTGAACCCAGGAGCTTCTCTTCTGTCATGATGCATGATATGAATTTGGTTCAACTCCAAGTTGACGTCGACGCGCAACGAGACGACATTCAACGCATCAATGATACTGGAGCAAATGTTGTATCTTCGTTCCATGGATCAATGTCTCAGCTAGAGAGGCAGGTCCTAAGGCTTACAGATTCCCTCCAAGCGATGAAAGAGGACTGGAAGCGACAGCAGGATGAACTTGGCTCTGTCAAATCTGAGCTGAACCGGTACAAGTCGAAACCAAATCGCAAAAGCGGCTCTATTTCCGATCCGGAGACGACAAGTCTTCGGAACGATTTGTCTTCGTTGAGACGAGAGCTGACACGGGTCCGTGAAGAAAATGCTCGCCTGAGGGATGAGGCCATCGAGACGCGGGACCTTGCGAGACAGGGGATTTTCGCTGCCAAAGAATGCGCGTTGGAAGTCGCCGCCTTGAGGCGACAATTGGGCGGACAGACCGATACCTCGGCCAAACCCCCGGTTACCCGACCTTCAAAGCCAGCAGCATCTCCGAGGCGCCCCTCAGCCCCGAAATCAAAGCCTATAGAAATTAAACGGGACGGAGATCTGACAGATGAAGACCTCCCTGCTGAAACCAGTAGCAAACCACCAGTTTCTTCCGAGGATACCGTTCTACTGCCTCGACTCCACGATACAAAGCAGTCGAAGCCTGGCCACAAACGCACTCTGATGGATTTGATAGATGAGGATGACGAGGACGAGGTTGACCTGGTCACGACACCAAAACGTGCTGCTCATAGCATAGACCCCGACCTGAACCCCAATGCAGAATCCTCGTATATCAAAGGGTTATGGATGTCCTCTTCGCCCATAGCTGGAGATCCTGACTTGGACAAGGCTGTTCAGGATCAGACAAATTCTGGACTTTTGAACAAGAAATCGAAAAAGGGGGGCCTCTTGAGTTTCGGTAAACGGTAGTCTGGAAACTATGAACTGGAATGAAACTTGCCTGACATCAAGATCTGAATTACTGGGACGATTTGCAAAACCTATCAGCTTCCTCTACGATGCATCATTATTATTTTCATCTGGTTGTATAAATGTTTTATCTACCGAATTCCAGGTTCACAAGCGCTTCTCCGAGGGATGCAAGCCTGTGGATCGGATCTATTACAGCGTATTGGAAGAAACCCCTCGACCACTCGCTGTGTGGATCTGCGTCCCATCTCTCAATAAGTGAGAGCTCTTTTTCTCGCCCAGGGAGCTGTTTCAATTCGTCCAGTCTCTCTGATGCGAGGAGGGATAATTTGAAACTGGCACTGAACCCAGCTGGCGCAAGACGTTTCGCGAGCAAGAGCAGCATCTGATAAGTCGACACTTGATCAATTTCCCTGAGAGCCTCTTGGATCTTGGAACTGGTGCCACCTCCCGTCAACTGCGAGGCAGATGATTGTGCCATTTGCTCGGCGGTGTGAGGGGCTGTGTTGCTAAGCAGGCTCGCAAGGTGAACCAGCTCCTTTACACGGATGGGATGGAATGGCGCGGGGTATCGATAGGGAGTACACTCAATCGCCACCAGACTTTGAATGGCGAGAGCACTTGTATAGTCCTCTTTGTTTACAAAGTAGTTCGAGATGGCGGCAAGGAGTTGTGGTACCGGTAGTGCTGCCCATGCTCCGACAGCCACGAGTTCCCGGCAGGCCTGGAACCGCTCACGGAGGGTCAGGAGCTTGATGTCCCCGTTGTTGAATTCATCCGTCCGGATGATGCCCGAAAGCTCATCTACGGCGGTGGTGATGCGCTTGGAGATGACTGAGTTAGTAATGATGGAGAGCTGTGAGACCTTTGACACCTCGGGCGATAAGCTGAAGCCATTGAGATCCAGATGACTTGAGGTCGAGCAGGCTTGGTAGATGTTCAAGTTATCTCTGCACCGGAGACACTGGCACCTGAACATGTAAGAGTCTATAGCTTGACGTCGTTTTGGCAACGGCATCGTCACATCTAAATGCATATTGTTAAATCGAGGCAAACTTTGACAAGGGGAAACGTATTCTCGTGCTCACCTGTGTAGGAGATCTCGATCTCGTCCCCAGCCTCTAGCCTCGATTCAGCCCTGAGAACTATCCTACCATCAATGAATTGGATCATGGCATTAGGCAGACACGAGTGGTTCATCATTGCCAATGTAGGCTGGATGAACACGCATGCCTCTGTGAAATCCTCGTCTGTCCAGTTGAAAGCATTGGTCTGGATCTGTTTGGATTCAGACCGTTCAGTATAAACCCACTTAACAGAACCATCACCCCTGAGACAATGAACATACCTTGCACAGCTGCTCCGCAGCCTTCCTCACCGTAGCCTCGTCCACCCCCTTCCCAGCATACGAGCACGCAGCCATGGCCATCAACTCCACATCCCTCCACCCAGGCCGCGCCCTCCTCGCCGCAACATGCCCCTCCAGAGAGTCCACGCCGGCCTGGATCTCCCCAACCAGCAGCACCTGCATGAGCAGGCGGACAGGCGTGGGCAGCTGGCCCCGACGCTCGGCCGGCACCCTCTGCAGGGCCTTGCACTCGAGCTTGTGGACGCTCCGCCACGCCTCCCGCTGGCACGCCGCGTTGCAGTAGTAGGCCGAGCGGCAGCGGGTGCACGCGCGCGGCGAGCTGAGCTCGAAGCAGTGGGAGCAGCGGGAGGCGAGGTGGGAGAGCGTGGGCAGGCAGACGAGCGGCTGGGCGCTGAGGATGACGTCTCCGGGGGCGAAGCTGGTGGTGGCGTGGAGGGAGCGTCCTTTGGAGGGATTGGAGCGGACTTCTACCGCTGGGAATGGGGAAGATGATGTGGGAGGTGACATTTTGGATGAGAACCTGGGCTGGGTTTTGGGGTTTTGTTGTTGAGAGGTCGCATCTATTTATTTCTTGGTGTGGGTACGCTCATGGAACTGGTTCATCGTTGGTGATGTCGCTTCCGAAACAGGAGAAAATAAAGTAGGCAAAACCACCAACTTGGGTATCTGTATAGAAAATCTCAAGTGTATAATTAAACATACGAAGTCCTTTATTTAAGCCTATGTTTTTATTTTCTTTCCTATGTATAGTGGAATCGTAAGAACTCAAGTTTGCATGTTCATTAAATTGACTGGCTCTAATGTTGTATATCTACAGCTCTCTATTATTCTTAGCCTTGGGCTGACTCTTTCTCGCCTTCCCCAGCCTAGTGTTCAGATCACGGCTCCAATGCTCCTTGTCTTTGCTGTTGCTCTTCATGATCCTCGCTACGTGGTAATCCCAGCACCCTTCGGAGCCCGAATCCTTACCGCTCTGGCACTCCTTATCGTCCAACTTGGAGGAGGTTGGCCACTGGCCAAGGATGGCGCCCATGTCTTCGTCCAAGAAGTTGTCAAGGGCCAGCTGGCCGACCTTTCGCTGGGCGCCCGCCCATTCAGCCTGCTCGGGAATCAAGACCCTCAGGAGCTTGCTCATGCCACCGTTCTTGAGGAACTCGGCCCTGATATAGTCGTCCTTGATGAGGCCATTGATGACTCCGACCTTGGCCCTGATGCGAGATGCGGCGGTGCGCCTCTCGGAGCTGCTTGCCAGGTCCCCAGAAGCCACCAGGGCGTTCCCATAGAACGCATCTCCCAAGGAGCCTTTTGCGTCAGGGCAGGGGCTGTTCAGCATAACCGACCAGGACCCTGCTACTTGCTGAAGAGCATTGGGGTTGTTGGATAGAGCGCCGGCCAGAACAGAGGCGGCTTGCTGGTCGCGGGGTGGCAGACTCTGGTCAGCCGCATCGCTGCCTCCTGGCCGGGTCATGAGGCAGAGAAGCGAGTTGACGGCTTCGGTGTCCTCGGCGATCTTGAGGCCGTAGTAGATGTCGTGAGAGATGTCCTCCAGCGCCTCGAGGGCCTTATCGACATTGACATCTAGGCTGGTGGCAGCCTCGGGGCTTTTCAAAAGTTTCAGGTTATCGTAGAACGAGACAGCCTCCTGGTTTGACCCGGCCGATGGCTTTGGCTCCCTGACCTTTCCAAGGATGTCATATTCCGGGGCGTCCCTTGGGATTGGAGGGGTGTCCGGCTCCTCTGAGGCGGGGGAATCAACGACCATGACGGCCTGATTAACTGGTAGACCCTCGAGTGCCGGATTGACTTCATCTGGAACATTGATCTTGGCCTCCTTCTTCCCAGTTGTGATGTCCAACCTTACATGCAGGCCCTCGGGCAAGTGCTGGTCAGGTTGGACAATCTGGAACTCATCCGTTGGCTGGAATATGCGAGGATAACACTCGTCTGGGTTGGATGTGTGGCATATCAGATCCTCATCTGCGGCTGGTGAGGGCTGTGGCTCTGAGGCGACAACCAGGGCAGAAAATACGATGAGAAATAATGCGAATAGCCAAATGCTGCCCTTTGGGACATGCGAGGAACGCATTGTGGCTGGTCTCTGCTGGGTGATGTGAGACCCTCTTTTACTGCCAATGACGCCGGAATCAATGGCCGAGGGTAGGGGAGTGAAGGAGTGAATGTCGTCGATGGTGTGCGGAATTGGCTGGAATGCAATGGGTAAAAAGGTAAGCCTGCAGCTGAGTTCTCTGGGGTATCATGAAAATTTGGTAGAGAACTCAAGGGAGGCAAGCGTGATTGGGATGTGTGAGAGAGAAAAAAACAAGTAGTTGGGTAATGGAAGGGAAAGGGCCACCCGAAGATAAACTGGTATTTGTATTCGCTCTTGAAAATTAGTCGAGGAGGATCGTAAAGAGGACACATAAATCCGTCTGGATGATTCTATGGCTATGAGTCGTCTGAATAGAAATAGAAACTAGCAGATACAGAAGCCAAGCTGGCTTCAAGTCTGTAAAAGACAGCTAGAGACTACGGTACTTCTGGTCCAGATAGAGTACTTGACTAGCTCACAAATATGTGAGAATCCGCATGTACCTTGAAGCGAAATGATGTATCGCCCAGAGATGGTTGCATGGCCTCTCCTGATTGGTTGGATTTCCCATAGAGACCCATGCCCCGTCCGTGTTGTGTGAAGCTGCCCCACGGGAAGTTCCCACAACCATCATGTGCATGCCCTGTAACATTTACTTCGCTCTGAAATGAAGTAAAACATCTAATTGATCACGAGGACGATGGAGGCGACTTCGGGCAGTCCGATGAAGTTTGGCCTCATGTCCATACTTTGGGGGGGCTTGGTGAGTAAGACAACATCAGCCAGCAGAGTTTACCATACGCATGTGAGGCTGGTTTTGCCAGGCAGATATAATAACGACAGTCCCAACCAAGCAGCGTCCGCAGTGTAAAGAGAAGTCACGCATACCCAAAGCCTTCCATACCTACTGTGTATAACAACCGATCATTGAAGATGGCAACTGTGTTTAACACCATCTTTACAATTACAGCTTGCCTTGTCCTGAGTGTCCGAGGAGCGCCAGCAATGCAGCACCAACACAACCACATTCACCACCAGCCTCATCATCTGCAACCCCACCAATGATGTCTTTGACTTTGGAGCTAGTAGGATGTTTTCGCTTGTGTTGCGGGGATCACTTGCGTCGGAGGAATTAAAGAATCATTGGATGCCTACAATGACGTTGCGGCGTCGAAAGTGGTAGCATCTGGGGTCATTGCTGCATTTGGGCGTTATCATGCTCAGTCGAATAGCCTATTTGTGTACCCCGCCACAAAATTTCATTCGACACAACTGCCAACCAAGGCGTTGATTTGTGCAGCTTCTTGGAGACAGGGCAAGACTATGAGCCTGGGAAGATGAAGGGGTTTGAAACGGATGGGGAGGGTTAGAGCAGGTATTGAGATGGCCAGGCTCGCCAAGTTTATGCTAGATGCCTTTTATTCCAATGCAAGCTTCATTTGCCAACCCAATAAACAAGCTGATAAACAAGTATGGCAGATGCAATTGACTGTCCCTTATCTTGGTCATCTCTGTAGGGCTCATTCGGCATCTCGACCCCTGCCCAGGCCCCTGCCAGCGACTAGAGTCCGCTAGTGCCTGGCGCTATTGCACTGGGGCGGGGAGGCCACTCTGCTGGAGACATTGGCTGCAACCTCCCACAGTGGCTACAGGTACATCAAGTGCCCCCATGTCATGTCGCTCCACTGCACCATCCCTGGCTGGCACATCGAGTCTAATGCATATGAACATCTCCTAATAAGATATACGAGCTGGAGCTGCCGCTTCCCAGCGAGATTCTCCCGCTCCGTTCATCAATATCCGACTCTATTCCATCGTTATATCGAACCGCCTCCCTCCCAGCCGTGCCAACCGAGCGCTGTTAGGGGTCCTGCTCGTCCCCAGCTCTCTCAACCCTATTCTCCCTCGCCCCACCATCTCCTGGGCGATTAACTCAGAGCTAAGGCACTCGATATCCAGCTCCCCAGAAACGGTCGACGCCTCCCCCCTTTCGTCTCGAGGACGCGGACTCCCCAGATCTTGATTAAGCCTCGAGGTCGCCCCCCGACGACACACTCAGCGCCCATAATGCCCTCGCCACGCCGGATTAGGCTCGTCGGCCTGGCCGCCCTGGTCCTGACCGTCTTCTTCTTATACTACACCAAGGTTGAGGGCGGCTCGGCACGCGACCGCAGAGGCGTCGCAAGCTTTTACGACAAGACCGTCAACGCCATGGAGAATAAGGAGAAGGATACGTCGGGAGGGCAGACGGTGATCGATACGAAGACGGGGTCCAAGGCCGGACACATTCCGGCGGACAGGGATGGCGATGGCGACGTCGACGCGGACGACCGAGAATCATCGCTCAAGATGCAGGAGCGCCTCAAGGCGGCAGAGCAGAAGGCCAAGGAGAAGGCAAACAACAAAGCCCCTCTTCGCCCGGACCCTCCTAAGGACGTTGTTGGCGTTGGAAGCTCGGCCGAGGGGCAGGACAAGAAGGCTCTGAGTGACGAGGACGAGGAGCTGGCGCCAAAGAAGAAGAAAACTACTTCCAAGCCAACAAAGGAAGAAGATGCCGAGGTTGAACTTAACTCAATCCTGAAGAAGGGACCGGGTAAGTTTTTTTAGTTTTTTTTGGGCTTCCTCCAACTTGTGACAGGCAGTTGACTGACTTTGAACTATTCTAGTCATCATTTTCTCCAAGACTTATTGCCCCTTCTCTAAACGCGCCAAGGGTCTCCTGCTCGAGAAATATTCCATCACCCCTACTCCCTACGTAGTGGAGTTGGACGAACACCCTCTTGGGCCAGACCTGCAAGATGCCCTTGAGAAGTTGACAGGGCGTAGGACGGTTCCGAACATTATGATTAACGGGAAGAGCATTGGAGGTGCTGACGACATTGTTGCCCTGGACAGTAAGGACCAGCTCATCAGCAAAATTGTCACCTTAGGCAGCAACCGTGTCACGATGACGGAGAGATTTACTGCTGGAGAATAGCGAGGACAAAGACTAAGACTTCCAACTCTCGTTCGTCTTGAATTAGTCGAGTACACAGGGTGTACCTGGTCCCACATCTTGATCCCGGATCAGGAAAACTCTTTTTTCTTCACATTCATTTTACGCCCTCCACTCGTCGAGGACTACTAATGAAATGAATGGATAAGGTGATCTCGTTCTCGCCGACTGTTTGGTCTGCTTGTATACATACACCAGCATTTTAATTCTAATGATTGCATGGTTGGGGTCGGTCCTGAGGCTGTATCAGCAGGAAAGTAATGGGCAGTGTTTCGGGTTCAGTTTTGATATGACTTGTATTACCTTGGCTGCGTAGGGATCGGAGCCCCCTACTGTCTAGTATCATGACCATCATGGGGTTTGCAGGCGTTTTTAGGTTTGAAAAAAAAATGAGACTCTTTCACTTGACTCATCGAGGCTTCCGAAATGTCTGACGCTTGGGCATCTGGTGGGCGAGGGTTTCTTTGCCCCTTTTTGGTACGTTTCCTCGAATTTCCAACACGGGACGTACAGCCTCTCTCCACGGTCAACAGGTTGGATGCCCATTGTTCATGCAACAAACCTATTGTTGGTTCTGGTCAGGGGCCCGTAGTCCAGACAATTGGCGTCGGTATTGAATCAGTGACCTCGAGACATTGTATGCACTGATAACGCGCTAAGTTCAAAAGACTGCATAGTGACAAGTCACCACATTCTGAGTCTTTCGAAGAGTCACCACATTGTGTATTAGCTTTTCTTTTAGGGCTTTGACTTTGCTGGAGTGTGATTCACGATCTGGTGCCCGACGAGACTGATTTCCCCTTGCTTGAAACCTTGTCTTTCGTCCATATATTGCCCCTTTGTTCCCCTTCTCATCGGATTTTTTCTTCCCTTCTTCATACTCTCTCAACTCATCTTGTTGTACAGTACGACTGATTCTGATCTCCTCGCTTGAACCTTGATTTTCATCAATAAAGTTCCCTCCTACACTCTGGTTCATCGGAATTCTTCTTCAAATCTTCCTACTCTCTGAACCCACATTGTTGCACAGCACGCCTGGTTCTGAACATCTCTCATTGCAAGCCTACAGCTTCCTCTGAACAGATCAGATCACCACCTTTTTGCAGCCTACTCTGCATTACTCTTCAAAGCCTGGTTGCCTGTACACCACATTCACCTCCTTACTCTCGTAACCAATCCGATCCATCTACTTTCTCCTACCTCTTCTCATCATCATGGTTGTCCCACGCCTTTGCAAGGAGATTCTGCTCCGCATCTTTGAGTTCTCCGACATGGAGACAATCTCGTCCCTGATGGAGATTGATGTAAGTAAGCCCACTCACTGGCTAGTGTTGAAGTTTGTGACTAACATCTTTGGATTAGGAATTGTGCCACCTTCTTCAAACTTATGAAAAATCTATCACAAGAAATATCCACCGGATGTCTTCCCTGGTCGCCCCCGATGATGGAAACTCTCCGTTTATCCTCACATACGACGTGAGCGCCCTCGAGGAGCCCTCTCCCGATCAGATAGAGGCGGCCAAAAGGTCAGGTAGCGACGACTACCCACGAGCGAAGCCGGAGTTGGTCGTCATGAAGACCTTTGATGGTAATGATGAGATGTGGAGGCGCGACCGTGAGATCGACGTCTTGCTCAGAGCTCCCGCCCTCCTCATCGAAAATTCACATGATGGAACACCCCATAGTTGGCCAGTCTTCCCAAACACAGAGTCAAAGACTCTTCTTCAGGCTCTTCTCAAAAGAGCCATGAACCGATGCGACGTCCTGGTCGACATGGAGGGGCGGGCCATGTATGAATTGGCCACGCCATCATCCTGGTATGACTACATGCCAGAGCCCGAGGGCGCCACCGCCCGGGACCTGTGCTACAGCTCCGCGACGACAAGTCCCTGCAACAACCAGTGGGTGATCAACGGCGTGCTGATGCCCGGGCTCACGCTCAAGCTCCAGAAGGAGTACCTCCAGACTTTGCCCCTCGACACACTCATCGAACTCTACTTCGCCGGCACGTACCTCGCCGAGTGCCGCCACCAGACGAAATGTGAACCCACCATGGACCTCGAGTACTTCAAAAGAGATCACGCCTTCCAGGAGGCAGCGCTCCGTCACGGCAGTTGGGCCGTCTACAACGAGTTCCGCGGCTACGGCGGCCGGGCGAAGCACATCCGGGAGGTACGCGACCAGATCTGCAAAGCCATGGTCCTCCGGCCAAACGACGATCCAACCCAGAGCGACGTGTGGCGCCTCGACGGGCTCAGGACGATGCTGCACCGCATGCTGCTCTCCCGCCTGGAGGGCGAGGGCATCCGGGAGCAGGGCGCGCTCCGCGCCGAAGTCTACAAGCGAGTCGGGGCCGAGATCGGGGCCCCTGACGCGTTCGAGAACCCTCCTTCTTTGGAGGGGCGTCCCGCTCACGTGGAGAATGTTAACTTTGAGTGGCTCTAAAGGCTGTATTCTTTCTTTTACTTTTTGGGCTTGGTGACTCACCAGTGCACTTGCTCGTTGAGCTGTACTTTTATCGAATTCTGGCTGATGTCTAGAGTTTTCTGGACATGTAAAATGAGCGGGTTTGATGTGGATGTGATGATACGGAGACAGAAAAAACAATTGTCGATTTTGACGATGGCTGGCAGGGAATGTGTTGTTTGCTTTGGCGTTGGTAGACCGATGGGATCTTGAGTTTCTGGATTGAGCTTCTTGGTAGATTGTCGAAAAGAATATCAATAACCTTCATGATAAGATGTCATTTGCATTCCGTGATCTCATTCAAGGCGACAGATGCTCATTCATACTTTGACTGAGGATAAGCGGCACTTAATATGGCCCAGAGAACTGGTTCATTTGGTTACCATGAGAAGGGCGGAGCATATCCTACTGTGTGCTCTACCACCCAGTATCAATGAATGAGCAACACATTCTTCTCAATATCAATGGGAGAATGTAGTACAGTATTGATCGGATCTATTGTTTAGCTTGTGATATTAATTTAGCACAAGCCAAAAGCTGTTCAGATGCGAATGAGGCGAGGGTGAACTCAAGAAACTTACGGCCGGGAGACTGTGCTGTGAACATCGCACCAAGCATCAAGCCTACCCCTTTTCGCTCCTGCTGTTGATGCTATTATAAGCAAGAGTTAGCACGTGCAGTCTTGCGGATGAATTCCATTTCGTACAACATACTTAATATGTCAGCAACAAGCATCCTGGACTCAGCAGATAAATAAATTGCAACATGGCTCTACCCAATCCTGTCAACGACTGTACCGGGACTGCACATATCTTTTTTGGATGATGCTGAGATGATATATATACAGCATATTCTCTAAGCGAGCGTTGAGAGAGCGAAAGAGGGAAGTGCGAGACAGCTCCAACCGAAATTCTCGGTCTCCAGGCGTAACACGTCAGTGAGTCTCGAATTTGGGAGACGATCATGCTGCAACAAATCAAGGATGGAGGCGCGACAAACTAAACTTTGGCGCTGACAGGCTTAATCAACGTTTCTGGCGATTATTGGAAGATCAAACAAGACATTTCTGACGTGAGTGCTGACAATAAGAGTGTAGCTACTGCTGGAGTATTGCATTGTGTGGACTTCAGCACCTTACGCCCTCAATAGCGTGGTAGTCAGAATGCTGAGCTTAGACTCAAGAGCATTTTCAATAATATAAATAAGGAAATCCTCGATAGTGAGCCAGAAACGACGGACATTTTTACAAAATAGCCTCCCTACCAATCCTAAAGCGAGCAAGCCTGAGCATATGCTCACAACCCTGATGCCCGTTTCTCTCTGCATACTTGCCCGCGCTCTCGATATCAGTTGATGTATAAATGCCCTTACCTTCTACAAGCAGTAAATCAAGTACGCTGACTCGTCCATGCTCAGCTGCCCCTTGGAGGGCGGTACGTCCATTGACAGCAGCAGGCGCCTCATTGATATTGGCTCCTAGGTCTAGAAGAAGCCTGACAATTCTCACATTGCCTTGGATAGCTGCAAGTTGTAGGGCAGTTGCGCCACCGTTTACCGCCGGAGGGGCGTGAATGTCTGCGCCTCGGTCTAGCAGATATTTCACCATCTGAAAGCCACCCTGTTCACAAGCTTGCTGAAGAGGTGTGCGTTTCAGACCCCGTTTTGCTGGTCGATTGATGTCGGCTCCTTTGCCTAGTAATAGCTCTACCATAGGTATATTGTTCGATATGATGGCTTGTGAGAGTGCGCTGACGCGTTTACCTTGTACGTGATCAGCTGCTTCTGGATCTGCATCTGCCTCGAGGATTCGACGGATTATGGGATAAAGGATCGTATCGTTCTCCTCTAACATTTTGATAGCCCTAATTAGAACGTGTCCCCCATAGGGGCCTCTAGAAAAGGGAGTATTAACGTCTAGTTTTGCTTGGAGGAGGAGGCCTAGGGTGGTGATATCCCTAGCTTGGATCGAGATAATTAGAGCCTGTCCACCAAAACCTCTTTTCCCATTTGGATACCTTGAAGAAAATGCGGAAATGAGTATGAGAAGAAGCGACTTGTTGCTGCTTTTGACGGCTTCTGAAAATGCTTCTTCATCTGCTGGCTCTGCTCCGTAGCGTAGGAAAAGGCGCACGATGGCCTCGTCTCCTGTTGCAACCGCCTTCCCGAGGTCCTGAGGAGGAGCAGCCCACTCCAGAAGGAGCCTCACAAGCTCGGCGTTATGTTTTCTGACCGCAGCTTCAAGGGGTGATTCTAATACCGTAAAGCGAGATAAAGAGCTGCGATCCAGATGGACAAAGTATTCAACAATTCGCTTGTCTCCAATCCGGACAGCTTCCACAAGTAAATCATCCCCGTTTGGTCTCTTATCGTATGCAAAGTAGTTCCAATATTCCATAACCTGTTCTAGGAACTCGAGGCCCCCATGGTTTCGTATAATTGCAGATAATATATTCTTCATATGGGATCTGACTTCGGGCGTATCCATTGTTTTTCTATTACTGCCCGCTTTGGGATATTGAGTTATCAAGTTCCAAGCGACCTCAAAGTGCCCAGATTCTATTGCATTCTGAATGGGACCCAACAAACTGATTGAAGTGAGATGAGGATTCGAATTAAGAAGCTCTTTGAGATAGGAGAAATTGCCAACTTCACCCGATGCCCGGGCTGCGGCTTCGAAATGAAGTTGCCCTTTCTCAGATAGTGCATCGAGTGCCCCGCAGTTCTCAAGTCGATGAATGAGCTCAGTGTTTTGCAGGCGGATGGCTTCGGCTAACGGCGTTGTTGGTTTGCAGAATTGTTCTTTTTCACGGCCAACTGGGCATTTTCTATCCGTGTCTTCTATACCCGTTTCTTCTTTGGTCCACCAGTGAGAATCAGCGGATGCATAATGTAGATGCCTAGAACACAGCATTCTTCCGTGAGCACAAACGCCATGGCCTAAGATAGAGTCTATTAAGGCAATGTTCCCCACGTGAACCGCAGCTGTGAGGTGTCTATCGTCTGGCTTGATTAGACCCAAAAGGTACTCTGTGAGCTCAACGTTGTTTCTTAAAATGGCAAGAATAAGCGCTTCCTTCAATCCTTCAGAATGATCTCCCACGGATGAAAGCCCGAATTGAATATCAACATACGTGCTCAAAAGGCTTTGAGCAATATTGTTCGCAATTCGGTTTTCCAATTCTTTTATAATCTTATATAGAAGAGGCTGAATAGCCTTTGCAAATTTTCTTGGCTTCCCGCCAATGTTACGGTTGAGAAGCTCGGGATAACGTTCTTTGGGAATTGTTGGAAAGAGAATTTCTAGGAGTTTGCTTCCCATTTTTTGTGAAATTCTATAGTAATTTTGGGTTCCCATACCCAAGAGATTGGTCTTTTGTATGCGATATAAAATAAAGGCAAAAAACTCTGGGGCATCTGGCAGTCCGTGAATGGCTATTAATTCAAAGATCTGTATGACTTGTTTCTCCAATGGGTGGTCGAGCTTTAAGTTCAATGTTTCAAGGATGACCTTGAGTGGGCAACCATAGAATTCCACTCCCTCGGAGGCCCGGTCGGGGATTCTGACTTTGGCGCCATGAAGGAGAAGAGCATTGACGATTCCTGGGTGGACTCGAGAAGATGCCAACGCGATTGGCGAATACCTGGCCCCATCGCAAAGAATTGTTTCATCAACATCAATCTTGTTGATTCTATTGGAAGTTGTTTTTAGTATAATATTGACCACTTGTTCATTTCCGGCTTCTATAGCAGCGCGAAATAGATTCTTAGCAAGCGGTTTTGAAACCATGGGGTTGTCTGAACGTAGCCACTCCAGAAAGTAAGACTTCATCCCCGGAACAAGCCCCAGAAGGCTAAAAATGGTCGCAAAATCGACACCTTCGAGGCCAGCGAAGTTGTTAGCGATGGAATAGAGAATTCTTCCAGAAAATTCCCGTATGGAAATATTTTCGGAAGAAGCTGGTGTTGAGCTGGCTGCAAGGTCTTGGCTACAAATATTTTCTACAGGCAGAGAGCGCAGTTGCTCAACTACCGTCGATAAAGAGGGAGAGCTGAGGCCAACGTGCTTTGGTGACTGAACGCTCGGAAGGTTGTTCCGAAGAATGGACTCAATTTGGTCGTTGAGGGAAATTCTTGGAGGGCTCATTGAAAAGGGCATATATGAGATAGGATTCTCGATCTCATTGTTCCATGCGCTTGACAGAGCATCCCCGTCAAAATCGATATCCAGCGTATGGGGAAGTGTATATGACTCAAGAACAGAACTGATTTGCTGATCTGGATTTGGAAAGCTAGGACCATCCTGTGAGTTAAAAAGAAGGTGATAATCCATGGACTCCATTTCGGTTGCGTTTCTTAAAGACGAAATGCCGAGGGGTGAAGGAGGTTCAGTATGTAGCCCTTGGTCACTGGTGATAGGGATATCATTTCGCATAAATCCATGGGCGATGGTTGAAGAATTCGTGATTCTAAGGGATTTACTATCCAAACACTTATTGGAATATTCCGAATACTGGCCATCATCCTGTCGGACTTCTATACGCCAAAGGTGTGCCTGTGTCTGATCGGAGGAGGGAGCTTGTTCTAAATCTTACCTGTTAGCATCTCTCCGTATAGAAGCAAATGTCTTCTCATACCCGAAATATCCCCATTAGTCACAAGACCCGCTCTCAAATACTCTCGACGAGCTCTCTTGACTTTGCTTTCCGTAAAAATATGCTCTCCAACCCGTACCCGAGGAGCATGTCCCTGCCTCTCTAGCTCATTATAGAGTGGCAGAATGGTTTCCCAATCGCGCTTCTTTAGATTCTTAGCAGCACCCCATAATCTAATTTTGGTTTCATACTGAGAGGCTCTGAGAACAGTTAGTCGCCTCGAATACTAGCAAGAAATTTGATAGTTTCGACTTACGTTGCGCGAAAGTCGTGCTCCTCTTGCATGACCTGCATCAGATTTCTCCCATTCTCACCAGTTCCTTTAAGGGGTAATTTCTCATTCAACCAGAGAGCAAGGATCGTTCTTTTGTGCCTTTCCCAAACCTCTGGGCGAATTTTCCGAGTAGGTGGCATGGTTCACATTTAACACTGTCTTGATGTTCAATTTCGAGTGTTTTTGTTCCTGGGAGCGTATAAGGAGAAGAACGTGTAGTTCAAGGCGTCTTTTATACTTGTAATGTTCCAGTAAGGACCGTCTGGGGCCAGACATTGAGGTGCACTGGGTGGGCTCCGGGGTCAGAATTTGGCATCAGATTTCGGCGTCAGGTTTCGGCGTCAGGTTTTGGCGCATGAAATTGGGTGTCAAGTTTTGTCACATACGTAAGGCTGCATTGCACTTTCGTCAAATCAGCAAATCAAGTGTTGCCGCATATGACGTGTCTGCCTTACCAACAGCCACTGGCAATCTGCTACTCGCACCGCCTGCCCTATGGCTTACCACCTTTGCCCAACTTGGGCTTGCGCATCCAGGCAGAAATCCTTCGCTCAATCTTCCCAGAAGGGAGCAAAGCCAGAGCCGCATGTACTAGTGATAGCTCAAAGAACTCAACATAACGAGGGCTCTCTCGGAAGTTTCCAATGTAGTATTAAAAAGAGCTTACCTATGGTGGTTTGCTCTCATCCATGGAATTACATCTTAAATCCTCCAGTTTCGTTGTACATCCGTATACCGATTCTCAATCGAGAGGTGTCTTTAAGCCTAACATGCACTTTGCTACCTTTTTACGTGAGGACTAATCTTAATATTACTCCGACGGCGAGCCTATAACAAAAAGAAAATGAAATATGACGAATATCCACCCAATCAGACGGCAAGATGCCGCGTCTGGAACCAAAAGATGACGTATTCGGAAACCATATCGCCAAGCCTCCTCGGCGCAAGACATGGAAACAAGCATAAGGCATTAGACACCGGATAGCCGTCAGCCTTCAAGTGAGGCTGGAATGCCATCATTCCCTAGACAAATATGCTGGGAGAGGACTCTAGCTACGGACTCTCATCTTAATGCAATAGTGCTTCCATACTTCTTTCATGCGGACTTTTCAATTTGTTTGGTGGAATTCGAGTCAGAAATCGCAAGACGCCCCAGGTCAAACATTCTCTCCGCTACCCCGAAAGCCATTAATTGAGCCATTGGTATTCAGAGCTCCTTGAAGGTCCATGGTAACTCACCTTGGACACTGTGGAAGTTCAGTGTGCTTAGTCCCTCCTCATATTTATAGATTTTGCGTTCCCCCTGACCTTGCAGCTGAACAAGGTAGGTTGGTGATCTAAAATTGGGGCGGCCGTTGGATTGAGTAAAAAAGTCGTCCGCCACTTTAAAGATTAGCAGTCATTCATAGGTCGTGCTTCGTCAGGATATTTCGGCAACTCACAGACTTGGCTCAGTATCGTACATCGATTCCGGCTCAGTATGATCATTCGAAAGCGGCCCGAGGAATTCCGGACAATGAATATTTCTGCGTCAGAAATATAGATGTCCTCAGTCTGGACCTGCGCTGTTTGCCTATTCATCTCCGCATGAGTTCCAGACCAGACTGGGGAGAAGGGGTATCTCACAGATGTAAGACAACATTCTCTTCTTTCTGCGGGTACTCTAGGCTGAGGGCAAAAAGTTCCAAGCGCATGGCCTCGAGTTTGTCGTGGAAGTCGCGCGCCGCTAGGACAGCAGTCAGCAGAGCATCCAGACTGGTATATCCATAGCGATTCATCGCACTTTCTGTTCTAGCAAATTGCAGATTGACATCAACGCTTTCAATCGTGCTGATACAAGCCTCGTTGGAGTACCCCAGACACTTGACCTTTCGAATTGTGACTGAAGCCTCTTGCTTAGAGAACGACATGGATGTATTGCTTCTTACTAGTTTATCGTGAGCGTTATTCTTCCCAAAGTGTTACTCAACCGTCATTTCTACCTTGAAGAAGGTTCCGTGAGATATCTCCAAGTGTCGCGTCCTCAGTCTCATCATAGAACACAATAATTTCGGCATAGTCACAGAACGGACTTCGAATTTCAGGAGTGCTTGAGGGCGATCTGGACTCAGGTTGCACAGCTCTGTAGTGTAGAAGGTCGACACCCTTGATCATGCTCCTCTTGTAGGTCCTGGTACCTACAGTAAACGTAATGGACTCAAAGTCCTCTCCTGCGCTGCTTACGTTACTAAATAGATGCCAGTTAGATGTTATACCCCTCATAGATACATGATAGAGATCTCTTACCCTCGCAAGTTCAATACGTAAGCTTGTTGCGTGTGGGGCTCGATGTGAGCGAGCATGTTGTTCATACTTCGCGAAAACATGAGCTCTGCTTTGGCTTCAGAAAGTGTACGAATAAACGTCTGCTCAAACTCTTGTATGTCTGCAAGGAAATTATCTTTAGCATATATCAAATTGATTGGAGCATTGATCTTACAGTTCAACGCTACGTTTCGCATGATGATTTCCACCATTGTGTTATGCAAAGTATCAGCAACCTTGTAAAGCATCCATGATTTCTGTGACCCAACTAGGCTGAAGGGGAATGTGAATGGAGAAACTTCAGATAAATCATTAATTTGACATATGCTTTGCCGAGAACGAGAACACTCACGTGCATATATAGAAAGCGCGGAGGAGTGATCGCCCTGATTTGCCCCTGATGATAAGCTGCAATGACAAGTGAACAAGGGATATTGATCATCTAAATTTTCTTTTGAAATCCCCAAATTCCAGTGTTTATGGAGGCTCGCACGGGAACAGATCACTCTTGTTCCACCCATATCTTGGCCGAGACAGACTTCGAAGGTAGTTGCAGGAGGAGCCGGGTTGGGTGTCGCCGGTGGACGATGGGTTATTCCGTGGACCTCGATACCAGTATGTTTCATGCTATCGTTGAACCAATCATATATTTCCTTCATCATATGAGAGTTTTCGTGTAGGATTCTTTCGATGCGCTTTGTGCGAGAGCTGCGTAGATGATGTTTATTAACCTGGGCTGTCTGGTATGCGCTGACCTGTTGCGAGGAGACTTGACCTACTTGCTTATCACCCCTAGAATCAGATCCAAGCTGTTGGTATGAATCATTATTTGACTTCTCAGCGAGTCTAGATTCCCCTTCTCTGTCGTCCAGGCGATCTTTTTATAGTCTTTAGCCAACCCCTGTGCCCATTTGCTAACTGTTGTTCCGTTCACATCCTGTGGTTCAACCATGGCACCATATTTTTTCACTGTTTCCTCCAAATGCTTCAATGTTCCGCCGCAACTCGCCAGGACCTTTTTCAAAGTTTCACCGATGACTTCTTCTTCGAGAAGATCAGTTTGAGGCGCGGAACTGTCTCCTGTTGAGTTGGGGATGTCCTGATTGTCAAACGCATTTTTCAAGGCTGTCAGAGCGGCGACCAGAGAATAGAGCTGGTCCTCTAATTCATGGAACTCTCTCGGTGCTGACTTACGGCCCCTTGTTAGAACCTGCGCTACGTTCCACGCCAGGAGGTATGCGTCGCAGATGGCAAGTGAAAATGCCATTCTGCTGGAATCGCTTGATGGAGCCGTAGTTGCAATGAATTCTTCGAATATCTTCCAGGAAAACGATACAAGACTAGAAGTCGCTGAATAAATGATGATGGGTCGAAAATCCAAGCTCCAGCTGCTGGAACTGTCTGCGTTTCTGTTTCAGCTTGATGCTTCGCATGAGTGCTACCCTCTGATGCAATGCAACGATGTGATTTCAGCCTGCACAACTATGTCACGCAAGCCGTTCCTGTAGGAACACCTTATCATGGTCCGCAAACCTCCTTAAAAACGTGGCTTCTTCCATCTGGAGGCAGCGGTTCATTCTCCTCTCTTACCAAAACACCGAGAAAAAAACATACAGAACCAACGGCGAAAATGAGTATTTTTGGACCTACCATATCCTGGGACCCTCGTGAGCCACTCCCACTCGAACTACAGCATCAAAAGGGGAATCTGGCAACCGGAAAATACAGCCCAAGTTCTAACGGACGCGGCATCACTGGAAATGCACAGGTCATGAGCTGCGTACAGGCTCAACCCGAAAAGCGAGCGAGAAGACATATCCAATTACCAGATCTCACAACAGAAGAAGGAGCCCGGAACCTGCTTGCACCCTGGTCAATCGAAATCGACGCATCTATTGTGCAGGACACCGCTAGTGTTCAGGTCACCCAAGTGTTTTGGAATAACTCGACTGTACTCATCCCTCAAGGAACGTACACATTCCCTCTTCTGTCAGGATGCAGTGTGACAGACTTTACCTGTCAGATTGGGTCAAAGGTATGGAAGGGAATTGTGAAACCCAAGAAAGAGGCTCAACAGGCCTTCAATGAGCATGTTGCTGCTGGCCTCATGGCCGGCCTGCTGGAGCAGGACACAACGGAAATCTTCAGCGCTACGTTAGGAAACATTCCCCCAGATACGAGAGTGACGGTCAAGATATCATACATCACTTTGCTCAAGTATCACTTGGTCTCTGGTGCGAAGAATAAAGAGACATCGACATTTACCATTCCGACTTGTATTGCAAGCCGATACGGACAACAACCAAGATTCGCAAGGACAACCACCACAGATGTCCAGCAAGGACTTACTCTCAGCATCAAAGTTCTAGATTCTCGTGCCATCCACACAATTCAGAGCTCTACTCACGAAATCAAGGTCGAGGGGCGGGCTGGGGCTCAAGCTGCGAATAGCTGGGCAGACCTAGCTAATGAAAAGTCTGGCAAGGTACCCTCAGGCCAAGCATCACTGGTCCAGCTGGACCAGGGTCCTATGTTCCTTGACAAGGATTTTGCCTTGGAAATAGTAGTTGATGTCGACGAGGGAAATGCTGTTCCCGAGGTCTGGATCGAACACCACCCAATAGATCACAACCAGGCAGCTTTAATGGCAATTCTTCCGCCTGGGCTTCTGAATCAGATACCAAAAACCCCAGCTCGTCAGCGGGAGATTCTGTTTCTTGTGGATCAATCCGGTTCGATGAGGGATAAAATAGATTCCCTCAAATCAGCCATGCATTTCTTCCTCAAAGGCATCCCATTGGGAAACAAATTCAACATTGCACGTTTCGGTTCAAATTTCACAAGTTGGTGTCCCCAGTCGGTTCAGTATTCAGGGGAAAGCCTTGAAGCAGCTTTGGCGTATGTATCATCCTCTATCGATGCCAATATGGGAGGAACTGAAGTCCTTGGCGCTGTCGAGTCAATACTAGGGTCCAGAGACACTGGGATGTGGACCGACATCATTATTCTCACTGATGGGCAAGTTTGGCGGCTCGACCAGCTACTAGCGGCCGTGAAGGATGCGAGAAAAGCATCAGATAATCGGATTCGCTTCTTCTGTCTCGGAATAGGTGATCGGGTTTCTCATGCTCTCGTGGAGGGCATCGCCAGCATGGGGGGCGGATATGCAGAAGTTGTCCCAGCGAGTGAGCAAAACAGCTGGGAAAGCAAGCTTTTGTCTATGGAAGCTGCGTCATTGGAAAACGACCCGATTGGGGAAGTGAAAATATACCTAGAAACACATGAGGGCAAAGGTAAATTCTTTCCTGATCCTCTCAGCGAGCCTCTCATACGATTTCTCTTACATCAAGACTAACGTGGTTAAGCAATAAATTGTCCGAGCAGCGCCACATCTCCCTCTGAACTGCAAAACCTCAACCCGTTTATTCGAAATCGCGTCTATATGTTGTTTGAACAAGAGATGACCAAGGATTTTCGAAGCCTCGTGCTTGCCATCACCTTACCGGATGGAACACAGTCGGAACAAAGATTTTCTCTGCAGATACTTCAAAACCGAGACACAACCATTCATAAACTTGCTGCACGTTCTCTGTTAGACGATCTTGAGCATGGGCGAAGTAGTTATAATATGAGGCCAAATGAGATTGGTGACTCTCTCCTCGACAGTCGAGCTGAGACTCTGGCCTGCAAGTGGTCTCTAGCCTCGAAATGGACCAGTTTCTTTTTGGGCGAAGAGGCAAAAGCGCTTGAGGACCCGAGGAGTTCATTGGTTATCATTTCTAGCAGCAAGAAAACTCCAGATTTATTGGAGCAAAGATACAATCCACACGCGGCCTCAAGTTGGGATATATTCAGGCAGGTCGCCGACTACAAAAGAATGGAGTCGGCAGCTGCTTTAGCCTCTGGCCCAATATACACACCACGGTCTGACCTGTTAATGAGAGGGCCATCACTCCCATTCCTAAGTGACAGCGGATCCTTGACAACTGAAGATTGTTCATTTAGATTGCAATCAGTTGAGGACACGCCTTCTTCAAAGGGCGACCGAAAACAAAAGTTTCTTCTGCATTTATTGGGTCACCAACATTTTGATGGTTCATTCGAATTCGCCACGGATGAGGAATTCGTTCGTCTTCTGGGGCAAGATACATTTGATGCCGTTGCAAGTCTGGTCGATCACACGATCTCTAGGTCTCTCTACTTCACGATCGCTGTCATCGTCGTTCTGGAGCAGCATTTTGCACCCCAGAAGCGGCGTTGGCACATGATGCACTCCAAGGCTTCCACTTATATCAAAGGCGCCCCCGGGGCAATCACTAGCCATCAAATGGAAGTCTTCCGTGACGGGTTGCGGGGTGTAAGGTCTCCACTGGATCAGGTCGGCCTGCGGCTTGAACAGAAAGATCGCAAACCTGGTAGACAAGTTATATATTCGAAGGCATCGGAGTATGCAAAACAAGCTGCCAAACGCCTGCGGAAGATATTTCGACGTGGTCAAGCTGATAAAGATCACCAAAGCATTCAACATGGTGAAGTAATTGCTCCTGGAGGGGATCGGCCTGGAGATCCTCAGAAGTCAGGCCCTGTAACTCGGCAGGCTCGCCGAGTAATTGAGATTGCACCATTAGACTAGATAGTACCCTTTACAAGACATTCAGCTCGTTGGTGACTTTGACGTCAGCTAGTTCCGGATCAAGGCGTCTTTCAAGGAAGTGTTTCTCGATTTCAAATTGAAACAATTTAGAAATCAGCCCACATGGTAGACATCGCATCAGATATCAAATTCAAACTAGGTTAGGAGCCGAAAGATGGACCTATCGCCGGACTCAGAGAAGAAGCATCTCCATCCGAGTAGCTGTAGGGTCAGCGAACATCCACATGTACTGATTGATGACGGGAAATGCTTAAAAAGACCATCTCATTTCATTCAGCGGGTTCTATTGTAGGTAATACACGACGGCATTGGATACGCAAAAAGAATAAAGCCAGCAACTTGGCCTCTCAATGAGTCTTGTCAAGTGAAAAAAGAAAAGGGGAAAAAAATAATGCTTCTGCTCGGACTCGAACCGAGGACCTCTCCATGGTTCCCGTTAAGTACCCATTCTCTAAGCACCTTGTACCCTTGCTCAATTCATACCTCGTGAGATATGGAAAGACTCGGGGGTAGTCAGTAAGTCTGTAGAGCTAGTACATGACGGGAATACAGCATCGAGCGCGCTGACCACTGCGCCACAGGGGCATTTGTTGAATGACATGCCCGGGGAACTTGTATATAAGGTATCGGAGGAGAGGGAACAATCCTGCTCCTTCTCAGCCAGGGATGCGTGGAGCAAGCAACACGGGAGACTCACAAAGCCTCGATTGTGTGCTAACAATCACTTCCAGCGCATATTGAAGCAATAACAAACAACTGATGATAAATTACACGAGACCGTCAGTCTCGCGCTTCACTCCCTCCGTTCCAAATCAAGGCGCCTTGTCTAGGACAATTGCGGAATATCCATCTACCAGTGATTGCAACACAGAGTCATGTTGATTATAAGCAACAACTGTTCAAAAAGACCTGGCTTTGTTCCTACCCATCATTCTTCTATTGATGTAAGCGATGATGAGTATTCCTCGACAAGTTTAGGTCTCTTTAGCGACAAATGAATACATTCACAAACCTTCCGTACTCCGACATTCAAAGTCCGTCTTTGTAGTCGGAGCATCGACCAAATAAAGGCCATGAAATGAGGAGCCCGGCTGCTTTGTTCCTAATTGCCCAGTCACCAGTAAATGTAGACTCTTTGTTTCACCCAGCGAGTTCCAGAGACCTGAGCACAGGCTGCAGAGTCTATAAAATCCGAGGCATCTCCCGTACATTCATCATACTCAGCTCATAACCACTCACTCCGGTAAATAAACTCAACTATACTACTTGATTCAAACCTCTTGAGTTGATATAAAACAAAATGTCTTTCCAGAGTACCAAGGGAGCCTACCCCCCGGGTGAGATCATCCAGATCGGTGGTCTCAGTACCGGTTACCCCAGCTTGGAATTGTTGGTGAACCGACACGCTGAGGCGTGGACCTCATTCTGTGGAATGATTGTCCAGGAAGTCAATAAGTCCGACCAGGCAGACCAGCCCAGTGCGCCGGGTAAGCCTGAGGAAATTTTCCTCAAGCTGTTCGACAGGAGACACGCGACCGATCTCCGATCGGACAACTGCATCGGCCTCTGGGGACAACACAGGGAGCGGGCCTTCATTGAAGGCATCTACAACGAACAAGTGGACAGAATTCTGTGCAGGCTGCACAATGAGCCAGGCTTCTACCAGAAAACTGAACCGCACCGAGACTACGCAGATGACGAGGCGTTCCTTTGGAACGAAAGCATCACCTCTTTTCACAGGGAGAAGATCATTTACTCCACCCTGGCGAAGCACCAAGGCGACCTGGTGCCACTGTTTCTCGGCGATGTCACGCTGGATGTGCGCCCGTCCGACTTCAAGGGATACTTGCCGGAGGTTCTATTCCAGGTTCGAGGCCTCCTCCTGGAGCATCCCCAGGGATTCTCCCTGGCTGATGTTGCCAACCATGCGCCACAGTCGTCGTGGCAGGGAATCTGTGATAAAGCGATGAATATCGTGCGCGTGCTCAACGGAGAAGGGATTATCAACCGGGGCGTGGCGCCTGACCAGTTTGTCGTCGTGCCTGAGGAGGGCGGCGAATATCGCGTCTGTTTGATGAGCTTAGATCGGTGCGAAATTCGCGAGGACGAATCTGATGAGGAATGGGCGCGTAAGAAATGGTTCGCTGCCGAGGAGGACCGTCTGGCCAGAGCTATGAAGGACCAGCTCAAGGGAAACGGCGACTTTGAGCTCCGATTCGAGCCCTCTTTGAAATAGGTATTCAATGGTCTGGGAGGAAGACGAGCAGAATGAGAACAAGTAGACGTGAGGAGGATTAAGTAGATTTCACTTGACCATCTATTAACAAACACCACTATTATGCCTACCACTGGCTTGTTTCCAGGCCGTTCATGCTCAACACGTGACAATATTGTGTGCCTCTTCGCCACTGACGAACGTAGAAATGTTGATTAATGGCTAGAAATATCTAGAAAGATGTCAGTTGAAGATGATCCATCTTGTTTTTGTCGGCTCATGCCAGATGGAGGCGCACTTCCTCTTTCGGACAATTTCCTAAAAAGGAAATCGACCAGGTTTGGTGATCGATCCATTGAAGTCGGCACTTGTTATAAATCTGGGCCCAACTTGCAGGCTGTCATGGAAAGCTGATCGGGAGAATACACGAATAGAATTTTCCTCGTTTAGGTAATCGTTGCCTTTAACTGACCACGCTCCGAGAATATGCACCCAAACCCACATGTGAATAATCAAGGAGCTTCGGTAGGATATGACGACGGAAGTATCAAGTATGGGATGTGCGTACACAGATATAAAGGTAGATATCCCGTTCATCAGTCAAACGCTTCTGTATATCCAGTCCAGATACAATCATACAATCTCAAGTAAACAAGTGCCATACAACCCGTCACTCAACATCATCTCCAACAAATAAACATGTCCTCCCTCCCCACAACCCAAAAGGCCGTGGCCCTGCCCGCCAAGCGCACACCTCTCACCCAAATCTCCTCCCCCGTCGTCCCCCCCGCCGCCGGCCAGATCCTAGTCAAGGTCCACTGGACGGCCTCGACGCCCCTCGACCTCCACAGGGCCGACGGCGGCCTGCTGATCCCCTCCTACCCTAGCCTCATGGGCAGCGGCGGCGCGGCGGGGACCGTCGTCCAGCTCGGCCCGTCCGGCGACCTCAAGGGCCTAAAGGTCGGCGACCAGGTCATGGTCTTCGCGTTCCACGGGGGTGCCGAGGCGAACCACCAGGAGTACATCACCATCCCCGCGTACCTCGCCTCCAGGATCCCCGGGTCCCTGAGCATGGAGCAGGCCGTCACCATCCCCGTCAACCTCGTGACGGCGTTCCACACCATCACCAAGGACCTCGAGCTCGAGCTCCCCTGGCCGATCCCGCAGGGCGGGTGGAGGCCGGCTGCTGCGGATGAGCCCATCCTCGTCTGGGGCGGGAGCAGCAGCGTGGGCATCTTCGTCATCCAGGTCCTCCGCCACTGGGGGTACGGGAACATCCTCGTCACGGCTAGTAGCAGACACCACGAGTACCTGAAGAGCATCGGGGCCACCGCCGTGTGGGACTACACAAAGCCCGGCGTTGAGGCGTCGATCCTCGACCACGTCAAGGGACGGGGTGAGCCCCAGATCCCCAGCATCATCGACTGCATCGGCTCCGTCAAGGGAACTCTGGAGCCCCTGAGCAAGATTGCGCAGAAGGGATCAAAGGTGGCCATCATGCTGCCCGTCATCATCAAGGACGCCACTGAGGACCAGGAGCCGGAGTATGAGATGGACGTGTCCAAGGTTCTCGTCGGTCAGTGGGCCGAGGGTGTTATTCCTCGGGGTGTCCGCACCCATTTCTACCTCCAAGTAAGCCTGCCCACCAAAACTTTTCAACTGCGAAATAATGCTAACATGGACACTTTTAGAACGACTTCTTCAAGGAGCATCTCCAGCCTGAGATTATCCCAGCCCTGGTTGAGCAGGGCGTGGTCCACCCCAACAACTACCGAGTTGTGGAGGGCAAGGACCTGGTCGAGAGGGCTCAGAATGCGCTCGACCTGCTGAGAGCGCGGGCCGTCAGTGGCGAGCGATTGATTTTCCGGATAGCTGAGGAGGGGAATTAGTCGAAATAACCAAGCCTACACCATTTTGTGTTCCCGAGTGAGGAGGAAAGTGTGTCCGGTAGATTCAAAATTTACATATTAATGAAAGACAAAGAGAACTCCATGTGCCTTCCCGTGTAGTCATACCAGGCGTACCCAATTAGTAGTTGATTCATTTCCATTCATAACCTTGGCCATATGAACTCAGGCCCCGTCCCGTAGAAGAAGAATACAAGTCATGTTCTCCCATCTCATGCGACGGGGACCGACTCGCCCTGAAGAAAATGTTCCACTCCATCATGGCCAGCTTGCCTATAAGGAATTAGTTAAGAAATCCTCTACTTAAAAGAGCCAACCACAAGGCAAGAGATGGCGCTACTTACGTTATCAGGAGAAGCCTCGTGAACTCATCCAGATCCTCCGGCCGCGCATATTGCCAGAACTCATCAAATTTGTTGTCTCTGATGTACCACTGGGGGTCCTCGCGCCAAGCCTGGTAGAACTCGACAGACGTGCCAGCGGTCCAGAGCCGCTTCGACGCTGTGAATAACATATTGGCTTTCCAGATTTCAATAGGGGCTGCTCGATTGCCGCGGTTAGCTAATGAGATGCCAGAAGACTGTGAACCAGGTGAACATACGAATTGTGGATTCCAGAATGTGCACCATGCAAAGGAAAGACGCCACCGTGATGCAGGTTCGGCGCAAACTCTCGATGAGAATCCATGACTGCGCAAGTGTCCATGTTAGTCAACGCTGCCCCCATCGGTATCCATGTGCCCAATAACTAGAGACAAAATACTCACATCCCAAGTAGGTGGGGGGTGGTCCCTGGACGCAACATCCGGCGTGGCAAGCTCCATCTCCATGTCCTCCCTTAACCTGTCCAGCTCATGATGCCACTCGATCAGAATATGCCTGTCCTTGTTGGCGGCATGGCGCAGCGAGAAGTCCCCGTCAAACACCCGGATCGTCTCGACAATCACCAGCGCCTGCGTCCTGGCCAGCTTGTCCATGACCGTCTCCGCCTTGGCCCCGTCCTTTTGGATGTCCGAGGTGGCCTGGGCGATCAGGTTGTACGTCCAAGCCTTGGTGGGCTCCGTGCGGTTGGCGTAGGTCGTCGCCGCGCAGAAGGCCGACATGACGGTGCGCGGCAGGTTGCTCCGGTACAGCCGCGTGTGGAGGAACGGCAGCGCGCGCGTCTGGGCGAAAGTAAGGTGCAGGTTGGTGATGTACTTGAGCACGAAGCCGACCCGGCTCTGGGGGTCGTGGATCAGCAGAGGGTCGACGGTCAGGCACTCATCCTCGTTGGTGCCGCAGGAGAGGGAGGAGAGGTCGCGGCGGATGACCTGCGCCCGCGGCTGGAGGGTGGGCATGTGGATGGGGGCAGGGAAGTCCGCCTTGGGCTCCCCGAACGGCGGCAGGGACCAGATGCTGCTGCCGGGGACGTCGGCGCCGTTGAGCAGGTCGACGACGGAGAAGTCCAGGTTGGTGGAGTCGAGCTCCAGAGTCCCAGGGGTGGCCGAGGCCGAGCCTGAGCTGGAGCTGTGCGGGCCTGACGATGACGATCCGAAGCCTACAAAGTCCAGGCCATCCATGTCAAAGTCGGGATGCGGGTCGTGGTCGCTCCCGCTCCCGTCCTCGGGCGAGTCCTGCACCGTGACGGCCGGCGCAGTGTGAAGATGATGGCTGATGTTGTTGGTGGTGGTGTGATTGTTGGTCGCCCTCAGTGGGCGGACAGGCAGCACCTTGTGGTAGACGCAATCCAGCCCCTTGGCGGCACACCGGGTGCACTTGGGATAGGACTTGTCGCAACGGCGCTTGCCTCTTACACAGGCGTTGCAGCTCTTCTGGCGCGACGCGGCAGTGGCTGGCATGGACGTTGTGTCCATGGAGGTTGGAGAAAGGTTGAAGGCGTTGAAGGGATCCATTATGTAGGCCTGTTCAACCACGGACTGAGGCACGATGCGGTTGGTTGAAAGAGGGAGAATTAATCCGGCCCAGAGAATGGCGGCGGGCTGTCTGATTGCTCACTCGCGCGTCGTTCAATCCCGCTGGCTTCGGGGCCCCTGAAGCTGCGAGCTGGAGTTAACAAAGCTCATTCTCCGCTGATGCCGGTCTAGATCTGCGGCTCGAGTCCGCAGCCTCCAGGCGCAAAGCCCCACCAAACACGCTGCATTCGGATCCAAACCCCGCAACTGACGGACTTTGCACCTGCGTCTGGCGCATTCTTGGGACCAGGCGGGCGGGCGCGCAGATCCAAGACCCGCAAACTCCGCCGATGCCAGCATTCCTCCGCCCCGCGCCATCCCCCAGGTCACATTCATTACTTGACCATCGCCATGGCCAGTCTCGGCCCGCCGAAGACCTCTCTCTTCCCGGGTCGTGTCTGGTCTGCCTTCGTGCTGCGTGGTGCCGTGTGAGGGTCACGTGGCTCATCTCCGGCTACACCAATCCACTCAAGCCATGTCTCTGCTCCAGCAGAACATCGGGCTGTCAGAACATGGCACGCAGCAACACAACAGTTTGGTCGCCACTCACACATATCACAGGTTCGCTCATGTCATGTCATGTTTGGACGCACATTGTACATTCAAAAAGTGTCTGTTCTATAATTGAACCACGTCTTGATAAAACAAGAACGCTACTACTACCATGAAATCCCTGCTAGATGTCAAGCATATACATAAATTTGATGATGCCTCACACCCGCTCCCACTATCAGGCCAGACACAAAAGCCGTGGCAGTGTTGTTTTGTGTATGAGCACCCGTCTCGCCAGACCACACAGGAGAAAAAAAACAACAGGGTATATACACCTCCCAATTCTCTGTCCTCACCGCCCGCCGACGCTGTCCCTTCCCGAGAAATCGATTCCCCTTCGCATTTCCCTAGTCAAATCCTCCCCAGTAGAACCAAAAAGTAACATCTGCCCAAACCAGTAAACCTTGAGAACCGTCCAAAATATATGTCGTCTGCCACGGATCCTCCTCTTTTTTTAACTTGTTCAATTGGCGGGGGTAGCCTTGTACACCAGTTGACGCCTCTAGGCGCGCATGACACCCAAATCTCCCTTTGATTCCCTCATCGTAATGGTATAATTTAAAATGGAAAAAAATAAGTTGGTGATGACCGTGCTGGGCCTCTTGTCAGGC